CCACCCAACCATGTGCCCTGCCAACACTGCTGGGGCTGGTCTTCATGGAAACCCTGGGCCTGCGCTGTCATGGCACTGCTGCTGGGGGCTCCATGGAAACTGCCTGCAGTGACGTGGGCAGGGGCTGCTGGGAAATGGAGTCTGTGCTCCTGATCCAGCCTGTGGCCTGGACTTTGCCTCCCTTGTGCTAAGAACTAAACTGAGACTGGATTACGAGCAGCTGTTAAGGACAAGATTAATGTCTTACATGTTTGTTGCAGGATTGTGAAATTAATACAGTGACTCTTATTTTACAAAGATTAATGGCTGATCGAGTGCTTGTGATTGGCAATGGAAGCAGGGAGCATGCTTTGGCCTGGAAATTAGCACAGTCTCCACATGTAAAACAAGTGCTTGTTGCTCCAGGAAATGCAGGAACAGCTGGAGATGGGAAAATTTCCAATTCAGGTATTTAAAAAAAAAAAAAAAAAGGTACAGGTACAATATAGAGGTAAGTGAATGGAAATATATATTGAATCAGTAGAAACAGGGTGTCTTTTCTCCTCCAAGTATGCAATCAGTTATAACCTACATAAATAATTTTTTGCTGTATAGTCTTTCTGAATTTTAGGACATCTGATAGAGTACCATATGATATGTTTTTAATGTAGTGCAAAGAATTAATTAAAAAAACCCAAAACCCATACATCTTGAGGACACAAAAATACAAACAGAGATCCAAAAAGTAATACAGTGAAATAAAATCCACTTTAAAAACTATTCTCAAAAGAAAATGTATTTGTGCTGCATATAGCTAACATAATTTATATTTAGCAGTATAAATAAGTATTATAAATTATCTTCAGTTGTTCACCCTAGACATGCTGCTCTTTAATTTGTTGTTCAGTTTCAGTTATGATAATATGTGGGTAGCAGGTGGTGTTCAGCTTCCCTTTCATCCTCATTACTTCATTTGAACACTTTATTAGCATAATTTGGGCTGGGGACTTTTTTTAGGGAGACTTTGATTTGATCTAGTGTGCAACTTTTATAACATAAGAGGTTATTTTTATCCTTTTCAGCTGTGTTAGTTAGTAACCAAGCAATCCTTGCCCAGTTCTGCAAAGATCATAACATTGGACTTGTGATAGTGGGACAAGAGGATCTTTTGGCAACTGGTAAGATTAAAATATTTTTGTCAGACAAGGGTAGAGTCTTGTTTTTAACTTAACTCGACTTAAACCTAATATGCTTATACTGTCTTTATTACACTAAAGTGTAAAAGACTAACTTGAACTGCTTGTATAAGTGCGAATAATTTTTTACATTTGGCAATGTCTAGCTGTTCTATGTATACACATTATATATATCATTTGATAGGAAATCACACGGTACTGGGGAAAAGCAGCTTTTTTATGCCTTCTTATATGCCATCACACTTCAGAGAAGGTATATGACCCAGGCCATGACCTTTTCCTTCATGCATAGTGTCACTCAGCCATTACTTTGGGATGTTACAAACAATGTAATTTGGTATCGGAGTCTAAAATAAAGAATATCGGTCAGTCAGAACTATAGTCGCAGGGTGGCCTCAGTGACAAAGCTAAAAGCTAATTATTAAAGGTCTTATGAAACCGAGTGATGAAATGTATGATGAATTCACATTTAAAATAACATTTTGGGTACAAACTGATTGCTACATCAAGGGGTGCAGCAGACTCCTGGGGGAGGTACTTTTGGCCTCTGTAGTAACCATGGCCTGGCCATTTCCAAAGAGATGACTTATCTTCTGGCAATCACTAGGAATTGTCGATTACTTGATGTCAGGTGGAGTGAGATGCTTTGGACCCACAGCAAAGGCAGCTCAGTTAGAGACCAGTCTAGGCTTTTCCAAAGCCTTTCTGGATCGGCATGGGATCCCAGCAGCAAGATGGAAAGCCTTCACCAATCCTCAGGAAGCATATAGGTTTGTTAACAGGTAAATTATCTGTTGCCTGCAACTTGCTTTTCAGGTTATCTGTATGTTTGACCTTTTCCTTGGGATTATTGCCGTGAACATGATCTGTCCTTTTATTTGCTGATAGATGTTTCATTTACAACTGGCTGTTGTTAAGCGCATTTAAAAAAAATCAAAGATGGGGATGGTCACTGGCAATTTTAATGTCATGAGAATTGTAATGGGAAGCTTTCCAAAAAACTGACTTTTCAAGTACAGGTGATGGAGTCTTATGCATGAGGATACCCATTTGCTATCTATGATAAGAGAAAAAAACCTCATATGAGGGGGGAAAAAAATACTGTAATGTACTTAACTGAACTTTTTCTTCAGATATTTGTCTAATGATCAGGCTTTCCTATGCACAAGCATAGACCTGGCAAAATTGTTTGCTGGGCAGTATGAAAGCAGCTCACAGCTGAAGTCCTTCCTCATTCTTACTTGTTCAGGGCCAGATGATAGGTCCCTTGGTCATACTGGTGAGCAGTTACACTGACTAGTAGTCCTGCTGAAATCAGTAGGATTCTTTGGGGGAGTCATCTGCTCCTAAGCAGTGATGTTCTGCTACTACAGTAAAACTGACCTACAAAAGAAGGCTGCTGCTGTATATCAGAGTCACTACAGAAGTTCTGCTTTGTGTTCATTCACTGACTACACACACTTTTTTTTTTCTTGTATCATATAGTAAGTGGAGTATAATTAGAACATGCCTTTTTAAAAACATTTAGTTGTTTTCCCTAAGAAATCTCTATAACTATATTATTGTCATGTAAAGGAACTTCAGTACACAAATAATAAATGGGATTAAACACAGAGAGAGAGAGAGCCTTTTATATTTCAGACAGACATGCTATACGTGCCAGAATACAAGGTCTCTGTGTGCTATTGCTACTGAATGTAGAAGCCAAAGATTATCTTACAGAAAGCCCAAAAAGGAAATGTCAAAGGAATGAGCTTCTGGATACGAAAGATTGCCCGTTTGTCTGAGTCATTCTGTGCATCACTTACTCAAATACTACATTTAGTTTTTGGCTGTTTACCATCTGGGACAGAGGTACAGGAGTAAGAATGTGCTTAAAATATTCAGAACTGGATAACTCATTCTGTGTTCAAAATAAGTGCTGTAATTTTGCAGCAAGTGCTCTGAATTCCTCTCTTGCTCTTCAAAAAAGCAGCTGAATCTCTGCTTGAAGTACAAGCCTCAGTTCTGCCTTAATTATGGATGCTTAAATGGTGCTTCTGAAATGCTGCTTAGTGTCGCATTTAATTGATCATTTATTCTTTCAAATTGTTTGAGACCTACCAAATAGTAGTATCCCTGGATTTAAAGAGGGGGAAGAGATTGGGGGCTGAGACACAGAAGTTAAATGATTTTTGTCCAAGGGTTCACAAAGAACAGTTGGAGCCAGTCCAAGAGCTCAAGAGTTCCTATTCCCCCTCCTGCACCTAGAGCCTAAGTCCATGATGAGCTTGTGTAACAACATGGCCTTCCAGAGTGGGATGGGAAGTATGTGTGCATGTATAAAATTCATCAACTATGCAGCTAAAAGGGAAAAATCTTGGAAGCACCGAACTTGAAAGTGTGCTTTTTGGAGGATGCAGTGGGGATATTTGGATCATGACTCTAATGTGACCTGTTTTTCTGTTAAAGCACAGACTTTCCTGCACTGGTTGTAAAGGCTGGTGGCCCAGCTGCTAGAAAAGAGGTAATTATTGCAGCCAGCAAAGAGGAAGCGTGTGAAGCTGTGCAAAAGATGATGCAGGTAAAATGCTTTTTCTTTAAATACTGTAAGGCTGATTGCCACTGTCCAGCGGTCTCTAAGAATTTACTTTGGAATCCCAGCCCATTTTGTAGCCCTAGCAAGCATTTTCACCACACCGTCCTATTGGCCTGGCTGGATCCAGAGTCTGAATTAATTTCTTACCTTGAGCTGATTCCTTCTCAAGTCAAAGCCTTGCCACTTCATGCAGCAGCAGCTTGTGCTACTTCAGCCTATGCTGTGTCTATTCTTGAGTAAAAGGAAGGCTGTGCCTCCAAGTCTGGCAGTGCCTGTGTTGCAGCCAAAATTAGGGTCTGGGTCTATGTGTAAGGATAAAGACACTATGGTACCACAGCACAGGTGGAAAGTGGGTCACCAAGTGAACTCTGAGTGACCTTGCCTCATGAAAAATAATGCAAGACCCCTGAAAGAGGTGTTGTGTGAAGAATTTGGGGCCAAGTGCAGAGCCACTTAAGTAACGTGTGCATGTAGCCTATAAAGGCTGTGTGTGGGCAGAGATCGGGGTGTGTCTGGGTGGATGTGTGGCTTTGAGGTTTAGGTTCTGTGTGTCTGAGGGCACGTGTGTGGGTAGTGTGGTCGAGGGAGTGACATTTGATTGAGGCCTGTGTTGGATATTGACTGGGGAGTGAGAGTATAGGAAGAGACTGACTGAAGGAGAAGATAGGCACTCCATGGAGGCTGTGCTGTGTATACTCCAGAGGCTCGAAGGTCTCCATGCAGTTGCTCCCCTCTGGACTTCTACATCAAGGTAGAGTTGGCTCCCTAGGCTTTTCCTCCCTGGGTGCATGCATTTTTGATGCAGAGTGGCCCTTTTACTTTATTAGTATGTATCGCCTCAATCCTTCCCCTCCCTTCTGTCCTTTTATTAGTTAAGCACCCTTGTTGGAAAGTCAGAGAGGTGGGAGGTAGGCCACCGCTGACCTGTACTGGAAGACGGATGGCCGGTGACCAATCAGACAGCAGAGATGAATAAAATTTACTTTTGCCCCTCTGTAATATATTCCACTCCTTCCTTCCTGTTATAGTTGTTTGATGTTTGTTGATTAGTTGTGGTTAATATTATTTGTTAAATTTTGTTAGTTGCTTTTGTTATTAATAAACCCTGTTATTCTTTCATTGCTAATTGAGTGCATGTGGTAGTTAACCCAACTTCATCTAATTGCCTGGTAAATTGGGTAGCAATAGATATACCCTGGTTTACCAGCTAATAGTCTGAGGGCCAAGAAACGCCTCCCTTTATGTGAGTGGACAGTATAAGGTACAGCCCATTGAGTGATATCACTTAATTAGGTGCTTAATTAAGTCTGTATAACACCTGCAGTTGTGGACCAGTTTTTCTTGTCCAGAGGTGTGTCTCGGCATCCACTTGGGTGGCATCCACTGACCTTTTCTGTGGACGGTGGGTGCTTTCTAGGATTCTTTTCTCTTGGTTGAACCCTGTGGCATCTAAGCAGGCTGGCACCTTTCAAATGCATTGTTTTTTTTCTTGAAAAGGGGATTGCTAAGAGAAGGACAGAGAAGATCTAACAGATGGCTATCACAGCTAATAACTACAGAATATTTCTAATGCAGGAAAACATGTTTGGGGAGTCTGGAGAGATGGTTGTCGTTGAGGAACTTCTTAAAGGGGAAGAACTTTCTGTACGTTGGTCAGTTTTGGCTCAACATTTTGCTTGTATTGCTGCTGCTTTGTTTGTCTAATAGTATGAATTATTTGTTTTGAATAGCTTATGCTCCATAGGGCAGCTACATAAGTAAATTTGTATAGTACACATTTTGAATTTGTGTTATTCATTATGTAACACTGTTCTACTTTTAACTATAAATGTACAGTACTTATGATCTGTAGGGGGATAAAAATAATAAAGAGAACAAAGTAACATAAAACGTGTGTTTGGATTTGTAGCTCTATCTGCTTTGTTATAATTCTTGTATTGCACCATTAGTTTTATCCTACTCCTTAGCTTACTTTTTGTGATTGTAGTGCTTTTCCCAGCCAGGGACTATAGCTATTGGTAGCCAACCTTTAGGTAAGTGTTCCCCACACAGAGGCTTCCTGTGCCACTTGTGGCATGCATGTCATAGTTTGGTTGCCCGTGCACTATTCTAACATGCAGGAGGAAATCCAAACTTGCCTCAATGGTAGTATATCTGTGACAACTGTTACTTGAACTCTGTATGCAAGGTTTTGCACACATTCAGCAACCACTTGCATATGCGTTTAATTTCAGGCTTGTAAAATAGTTCTATTTTAAGTCAACAGGATGACTTGTATGCCTTAAGATGTCCATTTCTTTAAACCTATGTCTGTGCAGGGCAGAGGTACCCTTAATTAGCTCTGCAGGCCCTATTATTAGTAGTAATAGCTAACCTACCTGTACTGCTTTTGGAGCCAGAGCTAGCATGTGTAGACCTGCCTCATCTATTTCTTGTGCCATATAGATATACCTTAAATGACTTGCTGGATCAGGACTTTGTCATACATAACCCTGTTCACTCTTAAGTCCATGTGAGCTACACTGCTGATTTCCTTGAGTGGGCAAAATAACTCATTTAGGTATGTTCTGTTCGTTTTTCCCCACAGTGCTTGTGCTTCACTGATGGAGTCACGGTTGCCCCCATGCCACTGGCCCAGGTCCACAGATATCTGATGGATGGAGACAGAGGTCCAAACACTGAGGGGTTGGGAGCTTTCTGTCCTGCACCTCAGGTATAGTGATTCTTTTGAGTTTATTTCTGAAATTGAATTGTGGGTGTAATGAAGCATTAGTGACCATTGTTGTTAAGAGCCCCAGTTGTATTGCCAGCACATTGGCACATCTCCCTCTGAAGTCAGGGGGAGCTGTGCTTGCAGAATGGCTGCAATGTAGTATCTCAGGGCTTGTCTACAGCATCTTTATGCTGGTTCTGGCAGCACCACCACTCAGTCTTGTTCAGCGTGTGTCAGATCCTGGAAGGAAACGGGGGAGCCACCCCAGAGTGGCCCTGAGGCAGACAGCCTAAGAGCAGCTACACTGATGTCCTATGGGGAGCTGGTGCTCATAGGGCAGGAGTGAATGGGTGGGCTGTGCTTTATGGTGGCACCTCTGGGTGCAGCACAGAGGCACAGCATAGAGATATACACAGAGTCCTGTTGTTTGTTCTTTAGGATTTCAAGTCTGAGTTTGGGACAGTGGCCTCCTGCCTTTTCTATTACTTTTTAGAGCTGATTCATAGATATTAGAGTTGGAAGGGACCTCAGCAGATCATTGAGTCCGACCCCCTGCCCTGGCCAGGAAAGAGCGCTGGGGTCAGATGACCCCAGCCAGGTGCTTGTTCAGTCTCCTTTTAAAGACCCCAAGGTAGGGGAGAGCACCACCTCCCTTGGGAGCCCATTCCAGATTCTGGCATCCCTTATTGTAAAGAAGTTTTTTCTGATGTCTAACCTGCATCTGCTCTCTGTTAGTTTGTGGCCATTGTTTCTAGGTACTCCAAAGGGTGCCCTGGTAAACAAAGCATCTCGTATCCCTTGCTAGGCACTTTTTTAAATCTGCAGGTCCAGATGCTCTCCACCCAAGAGTGCTGAGGGAGCTGGCAGGGTCCATCGTGGAGCCCTTGCCCCGGCTGTATGAGCATTTGTGGTCATCTGGCCAGGTGCCGGGGGATTGGAAACTGGCTAATGTGGTCCCAATCTTTAAGAAAGGGAGGAAGGAGGACCCAAGTAACAGTAGACCTGTAAGCCTCACCTCGCTGTTTGGGAAGATCTTGGAGAGAATCATCAAGGAATGCATCTGTGTGGGGGCCTGCAGGGAAGATCATGCTCAGGAGCAATTGCCATGGGTTCATCAAAGACAGGTCCTGCCTGACCAACCTGATTGGCTTTTATGACCAAGTAACTAAATCCTTGGACGATGGTGTCGCCATGGATGTAGTCTTTCTAGACTTTAAGAAGGTCTTTGACACTGTCTCTCACCCCATCCTCATCAATAAATTAAGCAACTGTGGCATTGATGCCTGCACAGTTGGATGGGTAAAAAATTGGCTGATGGGGCGCACCCAGAGAGTTGTGGTGGACAGGTTGTACTCAACCTGGCGAGATGTGAGCAGTGGGGTACCCCAGGGCTCGGTCCTCGGGCCCGCACTGTTTATCATCTTTATCAGCAACTTGGATGAGGGGGTGGAAAGTATGCTGTCGAAGTTTGCTGATGACACTAAGATGTGGGGCGAGGTGGACATACTTGAAGGGAGAGAGAGGCTGCAAATAGATTTAGACAGACTACAAAAGTGGGCAGATGAGAATAGGATGGGATTCAATGTATACAAATGCAGGGTGCTGCACCTTGGGAGAAGGAATCCACAGCATACATACAGGCTGGGGAGTTCCCTTCCTGAAAACACAGAGGCAGAAAGGGGTCTTGGAGTCTTTATTGACTCCAAGATAAACATGAGCCGCCAGTGTTGGATTGCAGCCAGCAAGGCCAGCCATACCTGGTCATGCATCCAAAGGTGCATCTCAAGCCAGTCCAGAGAGGTGATACTCCCCCTCTGTGCGACACTGGTTAGGCCGCAGTTGTAGTACTGCGTCCAGGACTGGGCACCACACTTCAAAAGGAATGTGGCCTGTAGAGCCTGGAGAGAGTTCAGAGGAGGGCCACCCACTTGGTGAGAGGGCAGCAGGACAGGCCCTACGAGGAGAGACTGAGCGACCTGAACTTGTTCAGCCTCAGCAAGAGGAGGCTGAGGGGGGACCTGGTGTCTGCCTACAAACTCATCAGGGGAGATCATCAGCAAATAGATAGAGCCCTTTTCTCCCCAGCACCACCTGGGGTGACAAGGAACAATGGTAATAAGCTAATGGAGAATAGGTTTAGGTTAGAGATCAGAAGGCAATATTTTACAGTTAGGGTGGCCAGAATCTGGAACCAGCTTCCCAGAGAAGTGGTCCTCGCCCCTACCTTGGGCAATTCAAGAGGAGGTTGGATGATCGCCTGTCTGTGGTCTTGTCAACCCAGCATTCATTCCTGCCTGAGGCAGGGGGGCAGGCTAGATGATCTGTTCAGGTCCCTCCTGACCCTAGCTACTATGAAACCTTGCTTTCTCCCCTGATGAATCTTTGTAGATGGCCACAAGATCACCTCTCAGCCTTCTCTTGCAGAGGCTGAAGAGATTCAGGTCCCTTAATCTCTCTTCATAGGGCCTTAGCTGCAGGCCCCTAACCATACGAGTGGCCCTCATCTGGACCCTCTCAAGGTTATCCACATCCCTCTTGAAGTGCAGTGCCCAAAATTGGACGCAGTACTCCAGATGCAGCCTCACCAGTGCTGCATAGAGGGGAAGTATCACCTCCCTAGACCTGTTTGTCATGTACCTGCTAATGCATGATAAAGTGTGGTTAGTGGTCATGTCCCTCCAACCTGACATAAGCATGCACTTAAGGGGTGGAGGTGAGAAAGGGCCTCTCTAATTCCCAGCATATCTGGTACCCTTTTTGTATCTCAAATATGAAGTTAGGAAATTATTTTTGATTCTTTAAAAAGCCAATGAGCTGTTTCAGCAAGGTATTGAATTACAGTATTTCTCTGCAAATGCTAAATTCACTGGCACAAAGTGAGCCACTACAGCCTGTTCTGCCAGTGTCCTAAGCCTCTCTTTTGTCAGCCTCGTTGGCGGAAAGGAATTATGAGTAGCCATAAGTGCTGTCACTTGAAAGAAAGTCCCCAGAAAGCCCAAAATTGCTCTCTACCCTTTAAGAACTCTGGTACAGTGCCTGTGTCCTGTGACGGAGGGGTAATGGCAGAGATGTTGTTGTGCCTCCAGTTATTCCTGGCTTCTGGACCAGCTTACGGGAGCAGGGAGTAGCCAAATACTGGTGAGGACTAGGGGCCGATCCAGCCCTCAGCCAGAACAGTGCATAGGAAAACAAAAAGGTGGGATAGCATTTCTCAACTCATGGGTCATGACCCAGAAGTGAGTTGCAAGAATATATGGAAGGGTCACAGACAAACTTTAAGAGTGTGTTGATCCATTTTTTAAAAATGGATTCGTCTTTAAAGGAGAAAATGTGGGAAACTGGCTTTTTCCTTGAAGGCTTTCAGAATTCTGGCCTGCAAGGGGCTGCTTAGGGCTCCCCTGCCCCACACACTGGGGGGGCTGGGGTCTGCAGGTGGGGGGCAGTGGGTCAGGAGTGAGGGGCGCTGGGTCAGGACTAGCCATGGATGTTTAAAAACAGGACCTGGTACAAAAAAGGTTGAGAACCACTGGGATAGAGCACTCAGCTCAACTCTGGTGCATGAATACATTTGGCCACAATGCTGAAGTAAGACCATATGTAGGCCTGAATGTAGAGTCCAATCCAGTGCACTCTGAACTTAGGGCAATCTTTCCATTGACTTTAGTGGATGTTAGATTGATCTCTTAAGGCAAAAAAACCCCCTCTGGTATATTTTAATAGGATTGTTTTGCCTTTAAGTAGAATGAGATTGTGTCCTTCCTGTTACTTTAATAGATGCCATGTTTCTATATTTAAAATCCTATTATATTGATTAAAAATACTTTAATTATTATAACTACATGGTGACATCTTTATTAGAAATCCTTTTGTCCTAACAGATTACCCAAAATAGCCTCAAATGTCGATCTGCTTAAATTTTAAGTGATTTACATAGCTTTAAACAGGTTTCCCATTACATGTCATAGTGTTATTTTCTAGACTGATCTATCACCTTTGAATATAACTATTATAAATGGACTGAGAATTAGCCGTGTCTCAGTTTCAATGTGTAACTTTCCATCATTGGTTTGGTGTTTTTTCCTCTTTGGAGCCTGATTCAAAACACTCACTGAGAATCTTTAAAAACACCACAGCTTTACCAAAAGCAACTGGAATAAATTAAAAGATTCCCACTGGCTTCTGTGAGCTCTGTAAGTAAGAGTTAATTGGCTTTCTGTGATGTAATAGAACATGTGGCTTGGATGCAATAAAAATGGGACGTATGCAGATTGTATTAACATTTTACTGCTTATCTGGAAATCATAAAACATTCTGAGTAAAGTTAAGCAGATAGCAAGAATACATTAGAGTTTTCAGAAGGAAAACACATTGCTTCAGTTGAAAGAAATGCTATATAATAGATTTTCAATCAAGCAGCTTTTTAATTAAATAAGATATCAGCCAACAAGTTTTTTTTTAATCACATTTACATGAACTTAAATTCCTATGAAATTCTTATGGAAACATGATACGGATACAAAATAAATGTGCTTACAGCCTATGCTTTCTAAAAGACACTCAGATGAATTATATCTTGAAGGGCTAGTATTTTCTCAATTTGTTGTTGTTCATCAGGTTCCAGAAGCTCTTCTACAGAAAATCAAAGATGCTATCTTTCAACCCATTGTTGATAGTATGAGACAAGAAGGAACACCGTATATAGGTAAGGAAGCATTCACTTGAATGACAGGGTAAAGTCACATCAGCTAATTGTTAGGGATTACATTTGAGCTCTTACTTGTTTTCATCAAAGAATAATATTCTGTTTTTCCATTCTAGTTTAAATTTCACTAGCTTGGCTTATAGTTTTAAGCACCTTAATTTCTGGCAATTCAAGGGTTTTATTATGCTTAGGGTTTTTTTCCTAATACATGGAGAAATGGAAGGGCTATGTGTTATCTGTTATCTGTAAAACAGAAGCATTGGCTGGCCTGAGACTGCTAGTTGTATTAAGTTGTAGGAACTCTGCCTTTCATCACAGCACTCAGTTTCATTAAGGGAGGGAAGTGAACCACAACAACTAAAGGATATTCAATGTTAATCGACCTTGGCTATAAAAACTATCATCTTTTGTGGATAAAACCTGCCAGCTGCAGATGGATGATACTTAGCTGTAGCTCATATATTAACTGCAGCTGTATAATTCACCCCTGTATTCAGCAATGAGAGTATTGAAGAACTCTGTCAGAAAATTAATTTGCAAAAGGGGTTGATGCCAAATGAGAGAGAGTGGTGTCAACAGTCACTTCATGCCAGTGGCTGTCATTGACACTGAGGTAATACCAGGATAATGCATTAAATTAATTGGAACCCAGTTCTGGAAGATCTCAGGCTTTCTTTTGAGTTACTAATTATTTCATACTGTCAGAAGCATGCTAAGAAATTAGTAGGTGATTAATTATGTTCATCACTACCTTGGAAACACCAGGCACCTGGCAGGACTGAGTCTTTAATGCAGCTCTTTCTTTGAAGATATTCAAGGACTTGTCAGTGAAAGGTTAATCTCTGATCACAAAGTACTTGTTTGTATTGCTGCAGGTCTTAAATAATTTGTTATTTATGTTAAACAGTTTGTAATAATAAAAATGCTCAGCTGTGGATTTTGGTAGGAATTTGTACTAGTAATAATATAGACATTCCTATCTATTGCAGTGCATTAAAGGGACTTCATTCAATTATACAGTGCAACATAAAAGCCATTCCTGCACAGGGTTTTTCTTTTGGAAGTTGTGTTTGCATCTTCTGAAGATCTCTCTACATCTGCAGTCTCCAACTGAGGGGCTGTAGTAGAGGGCGGACTGTTTTGTGGCTTTTTTGTTTTGTTTTTTTTTATGTTCTTGAATGAGCTTTGTTCTCCCCTTGCTTTTTACTCCAGGGCTGTCCAACTTCTGGGCAGCCACAGGCTGCAGACCTGGGGGCATTACCCTGTGCAGGTGGTCAAGCAGGCAAACACATCCCAGCTCTCTTCCCATCCCCACCCTGCACAGCTCAGCCATGCCCACTCTTCTGTTTTACCCCTGCCCCCCACCCCATCATGTGTGCCATGTGGGTGGCCTAGCTTCTCTCTCAACTGTGTACACAGCCCTCTCCCCAACCTAACCATCTGGGCCAGCCACCCTGCAGCACAGGTAACTGGGCCCTCTGCAAGCAGCCAGGATGGGAGGGGGTACTGTGCATGTGGCCTGCATGGGTAGAAGAGTAGGGGAGCTAGACTGCCCAGCACTCCTCCTGCTGTGCACACGGTGTGGGTAGCCTAGCTCCCCACCAGGTGGGCAGCATCCCTTTCTCCCCTGCAGCACAGGCAACTCAGCTTACCCTGTCATGCGTGGATATTGGCAGTGTGGACAGACAAGTTTTGCTATGCAGCTTGGGCACTCCAGCTCCCTCCCAGCTGCCACAGAAGGAACAACTGGCCAGCCCAGGTTCTGGGTAGTTGCTGATAGCCATGGAGCCCAGGCTGGCCAGAGCTTGGGCCAGCTGTAGCTTGGAGGCTGCCAACAGCTGCTGCCTCCCAGCCCCAGGCTCTGGGGAGGCAGCAGATGCCAGCGATGCTTCCTGCTGTGTTGCACTCCCCACCGCTTCTGCAGAGCAGTGTGTGGAACCCAGCGCAGTAGGGCACATTGGGGGCCCAGAAAGCTGCCTGCCATTCCAAGCTCCCCGTTGGCCTGGGCACACTTCCCCTGCAGGCGGGGGCAGCAGGAAGGGGCACAACCCTGCAGGAAGGGGCACAACCCTGCGTGCTGCCCATGCTGCTCCTGTGCATACAGGGGAAGTGTGACCCAGACAGTGCGGAGCTTGCAGCAGCAGACGGCTTCCCTGTGTGGCCCCTGTGTGCGCTGCCAGTCTGGGTCGCAAACGCTGTGCTCAAGGCCCTGCTGCCCTCCCTGGGCACAAATTCAGAAAAAGAATGCTAATGAACAGCATAGCAGGGAGCATTGCCAGTATCTGCTGCCTCCCCGGAGCCTGGGGCCAGGTCTGGGGCTGGGAGGCAGATGGGGCTGAGGCCAGGGCCCGGGAGACAGCAGCTGTTCGCTGCCTCCCAGCTGCAGCTGGCCCAGCTGGATAGCTGCTGATTAGCCACGGAGCCTGGGGTGGGGGGCTTTTGGTGGGGGGCAAGGGTCATGAGCAGGGCTAGGAGGTCTGTTGTGGAGGGACCTCCACAAAACAAATACACAAGATCAAAAGGAGTATCAGAAATTTTTTATTTATTGTCACTAGGTTTACAATTTGATATTTACGGAAAAAGTGGGGCGGGGGGCAACATTTATGATGATTAACTATAATAATATGCAATGTATCCTGCCATGTATCCCCTGCCCTCATTTTGTTTTTCTGGCATGCTGGCACTTCCAAGTAGACATTGTGGGGGGTTTTGGCACTCCGGTCAAAAAAATGTTGCCTACCCCTGGGCTAACCCTTGACTTTGGAGGGGAGGCTGAGGGAACTGGGCTTATTTAGTCTTTAGAAGAGAAGTCTGGGGGGGGGGATTTAATAGCAGCCTTTAACTACCTGAAGGGTGGTTAGAAAGAGGATGGAGCTGGACTGTTCTTCATGGTGTCAGATGTCAGGACAAGGAGTGATGATCCTAAGGTGCAGCAAGGGGAGTTTAGGTTAGATAGGAGGAAAAGCCTTATCGCAAGAAGAGTAGTAAACCATTGGAACAAGCTCTCCCCAGAGAAATGATGGAGTCTCCATCCTTAGAAATTCTTAAGACCTGGCTAGAAAAAGCATTGGCTGGGATGATCTAGTTGGGGACGGTCCTGCTTTGAGGAGGTGGTAGAACTAGATGACCACCTGAAGTTTTCTTCCAACCCTAATGTTCTATGATTCAAAGATTGCATGCAGCTCCCAGGCTGCCATTGGGCAGCTCTGTCTTTATTTTAACACAAAATATGTGTCTTATCATTGGAGTGTTGGGCCTTAAAGAATTTTTAAGGAATACATATGCTAGCAGAATCCTTTGGCACAGGCTTCCTTTATTTTGCATGAATTCATCCCACTTTTTAGATTACTGTGCTGCATTTAAAGTAGTGGGGAAAAAAAAACCTTTTGGACTAACTTGTATAGTTCTGTGGCTCTGCTTTCTGTTCAGGTGTGCTGCAAACAAGATTAATGCTGACCAAAGATGGTGTGAAAGTATTAAACTTTAAGTGTCACTTTGGTGACCCTGAGTGCCAGGTGAGTGAGAGATCTTGAATTTACTCAATTTTCTACATCAAAATGTAATAGTTTACTTTATTGAACTGGATACACATCTCCTCTACCAGAAACATATGCATCTACAAGAGAAAGTCTTAGAAAACTTACAGAGTAACTGTTTAAAAAATGAACTAGTTGGCATTTATTGTCTTTGACATGTTCAGCTATTGTCTTTTAAGTCACTGAAGAATTGTTATTCAAATACTTGTTTGAACTAGGTAAAAGAGCCTATGCAGTTCCTCAAGCTAAATTCTATTATTTCACACTGGGGCTGCATAGGATTGTTACTTTCCATATCCTATTAGGAATAATTGCTGTAAATAAATGTGCATGAACTTTCTGAATCTGCAGATGTACAAAATATACTATTTTCAGTCCCACAAGTGCAGTGTTTGTTCAGTAAGTTGAATTTCATGCATATCAGTTCCCGGAGAAAAGCTTAATGATTTTTTTTTTCATTGAATTCAGCAGTTGAGCAAAATTACATTTAGCTCTATTGCTGTGAACGTGTCTTTGCAGGTAATTCTTCCACTGCTAAAAAATGACTTTTATGAAGTGATTGAAGCAATAATTGAAGGCAAACTCTGCAGCCTCATGCCAGTGTGGTCAGAAAACAGTACTGCTGTGTCTGTGGTTATGATAAGTAAAGGATACCCAGGAGACTATGCTAATGGCATGGAAATAACAGGTGATTTGTTTTGTTTTTATTTTAGCATAGCAGTTACAAGAAGAGGCATAGTGAGTCTGAATTTAGCCCTTCTCCCAAAGAACCATATTGCTGTTTGTACAGTGCACATTTGTGGAGGTGAAGTATAAGGAGATTTTCTTCATAGCGTCCTGAATAGAAACCTTTCATGGTCATTAATTGGACAGGGGTATATTTCAAAGTCCCATGGAGTGAACTGTTTAAAGGTACCTTATTCTCTAAGGACCAGTCTCTGGTTTGAAATTGTGATGAGAGAGGGCAGTAGAGCCCTAGCTGTCCCTGGAGGAATTCTGGAGACAGGAGAATTCTTCCAGAGTCAGTTCATGAAGCTGAAGCACAGATTTCTAGCTCATCCTTTCTGGCACCAGGTCTGCTTTGCTGGCTGGTGGGTCAGATGAGCCATCTGTCTAGGTCACAGCACCTCTGGGGAGTGCATGCTAGAATTGGAGCTTTCCCTGTGCTAGCCTTGGCCTGTCATTCCTCTCCATATATCGTCTACAAGTGCAGAGAGAAGGCCAAGTTATACAGCCCCCTCCTACTGCAGCATGATATTTCTGGAGCTAGACTGCCTTTAGATACTCCTGCTGCTACTACTTTCCCTCTCCAGCACAGCCCTTGTCTTTATTTGTTCTGTAGTGTCTTAGACAAATGTGTGTTTCAGATGTTAGAGCTACGCCTGAGGAATGCTGAGTTTTGACAAAACAGTAAAAGCAGGGAAATCTTTCCCTTGCAAGGCCCATACTTTTCACAATTATAATTTTCTTTGTGTTTATTTATCGTGTCACACTCTTTCACATTGTACTTGCATGGACATGCAGTATTCTGGCACCTGTCTTAAAACTGTGCCCACAGGCATTTACATTTGTATCAGACTCGTGAAACATAGCCAGCTTTGGCTCACAACCTACATAGTGAGTCAACCCTAACAGCTTCACCAAAGCAGAAATGATTTCATCTGCTGATTTTAAAAACTGCTTTTAGCTCTTTGTGAGACTGGGAGAGGCTTGATTTTTCTCTCTCTCTCTGTCTCTTTACTGATTATATATAGAAACAAATCAAAATAATTAGTTTGCTCTAATAGTGACCAGGAATGATGAGAACCATCTACAAGTATTCAAAGAGCACCAACGTCAAAGTGGGTGAAGAACTGATTGTCGTGTCATCCAGTTCAGAGAGATGTAGCAGAATGAAAAGAGAATTGAGACTTAAATATTGTGTTACTGTGGACTAGCTTCTCAAGGGAAATCTGATCTCTGAATAAGTTTGTTCAGTCTAATATAAAATGATTATAAAAAACAGTATATAGAACCATGTGTGGGCAGGGAGATAATGTAGATGTCCTAATCCATCCCTCTTATCCTTGACTTCTTTTCTGTGAGCTGGTGTTTCTTATGGCAATCTCAGTAAAAAAGCCCAGGGTAAAGTTGGCATGCGAGCAGCGGTAACTTCCCACATAGAGGAGTTCTTTTCAGGAGAGAGTTAAGCCATGTTAGGAGCTGTGGAAAAACTGGCCGTACTCCTGTCTGTGTGCTTTTGCTACAAATAAAGAAAGAATATCACCTGTTGACACTTTCACCACATTGTGTTTGGTTTTAAAAAGTCATGAAACTACAAGTTCTGCTTACATTTCTAGGTCTTCTTCAGGCGAAAGAGCTGGGAGTGGAGGTGTTCCATTCAGGCACAACAGTGAAAGACGGCAAAGTGGTGACGAATGGTGGAAGAGTCCTTACCGTAACAGCTGTCAAGGAGGATTTGATGTCAGCACTAGAAGAAGCCAACGAAGGAGTGGCAGCCATACAGTTCCATGGTGCCATTTATTGGAAGGATGTTGGTTACCCAATTTTAGGATTTCTCACACAGTCTGTGTATGTAAGCAAAGGCACTAGTGGAGATAAGTAGTAGTCCAAAAATCATTCAGACTGTTGCAGTTCTGTGATGGACAACAGTTTTGTCACTGTTAAAAGAAATGTGCTGTTAATTCTTTTCAGAGGCCCAGTATGCAAAGGAAGAAGCATGGAAACTTTGACCAGCAATATTTTGATTGATCACTGTGAACAACCAACTGAAAGTAATACCATATCAGGTAAAGTCAGGCCAGGGCTGCAAACTTGCTTGGTATTTTGAATGTAGAAGGAATTCCTTCACTGAGGTGGGCAGAGTGGCCCTTCTATGCAGGTATTTTATATGAGTAATGAGGCAATTATTGCACTTAAATTTGATTGGACAAGGACCTAAATGCTCCTTTCCTTCATCTCTTCCTTGTCTACTAAATCAATTCTTTAGTTAAGACAGGGAAATGTCATTCCTGATTATTGAGGTCCCTGGCTTGAACTTTGATGCACTAGACCGGTGGTCTCCAAAGTGGGGTGCACGAGATGATCCATTGGGTTGCGGGAAGAAAATATTACAACTTCTATTTCTATTTATAGAAATATACATATATTGGGGGTGCGTGCTCAAAACATTTTTACTGATAGGGGTGCGCGATCAAAAAAGTTTGGAGACCACTGCACTAGACTACTGTAGTGTAGTTAACCAGGCCATCAATATAATTGTAAATACAGCATATTATTGGATAGTGAAATGACAGTTTATCTCACTGGATAGCTGTTACTGTATATTTTCTATCAGCCAGCCAGGGTTGTGGTAGCAAAGTGTAATATATAAAAAGTTGCTTGTGATCTTGTTAACCACATTTGAAATCTGCTGCTTTTTTTTTTTTTATTAACAACAGTGATACTCTCTGAGAAGGGTTTATGTTAGGCCCCTGGCAGATTTTTACATTTAAGACATGATTAACCAGTTAGATGTTACAGTTGCGTGTTACAAAATATGTGTAATAACTTTTGTGGCTGTTCCTATCATGTCTTAAATTGCACGTGTGGCCAGGCATCAGTGAATTAGGGCTCCCTGCCTTGGTGTGCATGGGAGCTGTGATCAGCTGCCATTCCCAGCCTTGGGGGTGCATTGGAGCCTTTGATGGTGCTGTGCCCTGGAGGCTGGGAGCAGGAGCTAATTGGGGTGGAGCCCTGAGTCAAAGATTGAGGTGTGCTTTCAGGGCTGGGAGCAGTAGTCAGCTGATCAGGGCTCCCACCCTCTGGGGTGCACTGGAGCCCTTGACTCCCATGCACTCCTGAAGCTAGGAGTGGCGATCATCTGATTTACTTGCTTCTTGCTGGTCCAGGGAAAACCCAGGATCACGACTACCAAAGTAGCTATTGAGCAGTTTTCACAGAAACTCTGATTTCAGGCAGGCTCTGTGCTTTTGGCAGGCTCACTGCAAAAATAAATAAACTTAACAGGAAGCAAAGAAAAGCTCACAGGAAGCCCTGCAACAGGCTGCTGCAAGCAGCCTTGCTCTGCCACCCTCTCCCCTGTGTGTTCCCCCTCCCCCTGTACTTCAAGACTACAGGGCTTCCCACGTGCTTTTCTCTGCTTGCTGGTAACTTTGCTTGTTTATTCATTTTATTTTTGTAGTGAGCTCATCAAAAGTGCAGAGCCTACTGCTTGGGGATGGCCTGAAACTGCAGCTTAATTACCATGATTAAGCTCGGGGGAAGCCATTAATCCACGTTTAATAACGTGGATTAATGGCTTCCCTGGGCTTAATCAAGGTAATTAAACTGTGGTTTTGGGCCATGTGGCAGTCTGCAGGGAGGGGTGGGACTGTCAGGGCCCCTTGGCTGATCAGAGGTGTGGGGGGACCCCATGGCATTCAGCCTGTGAAAATGGCAGCCAGCCCCAGGATCTGCCTGTGAAATCAGCCAGCTGCCTCCAAATTTAGTAGAGTGTACTAAACTTGCAGTGTAGTGAGATTGTGTGATCCCTGATCCCACAATCATGTCTCCTGCCATGCTATGTGTGCATGGTAGGAGGTGGGATTGTGGGCTTGCACATTTAATCCTACAGCCTGTTTAACTGAACATCTGCCAGGGGCTTTGGTTATGTAACTGTGCTTTTAAAGTGGATTAAAAAGAGATACCAGCTGTTAGCAAATGACTGATGAATACTGTTCACTACAGCTTACAAATATTGAGCAGTAAAACTAGTAGCATCACAATGTGAGTTTTGAGGTTCAGAATTTCACAAGATCATGTATATTTTTATCAGTGGTCACAGTAAGTTGTTTTGTTGGGTTTTTTTGTTTCTCCCCTTCCCTCCGACTTTAATAATTTGCATGTGGAACACTTTTGGGCCTGGCAACTTTGTCCTTGACCATTTTATACTTGGCAGGCAGCCATTCAGAGTTGGAAGGCTTTGCTGGTCTGTTTGACTTGAGAGCGTCTGGATATGATGATCCTATTTTAGTGTCTCGAACTAAAGGCCTTGGAACTAAATTGCAGGTAACTGCTAGTGTGTCTGGAACTTAGCTGCTGGGGATTTTTAAAAAAATAACTACAATACGTTGTGCTCTGTGGATCTCTTATTATTGTGATGACATTATAAGTCCACACCAGTTGCATAAGTTATAACCCAGAGACCCCAGCATTCTATCCTGCCCGTGGCAGGGGGTTGGGCTTTGACCTGCTTAGGTCCCTTCTAACCCTATCGACTATGAAACTATGTGTTTCCAGGAGAGAGAGAAATATAATGCCATTGTCTGAGGCACTGGTGAGACCTCGCTTGAAATACCCTGACAGTTCTGGGTACCTGTGTTCAAGAAATTAATTCTGACTGGAATAGGTGCACCTAAGGGCCACTAGAATAATCACAGAAATCAAGAGCCTGTAATATGAGAGGAAACTAAAAGAGCTGGACTTCACCAAGCTTAGCAAAATGAGTGCAGACTGGGGACCTGATTTTTCTTTTTCTAGATACTTCAGAGAGAGAGAGGTAAATACCAAGGAGGGAAAAGAACTGTTTAAACTAATGGACAGTGTTGGCACAAGAATAAATGGGTCTAAACTAGCTACAAACAAACTTGGGTTGAAAATGTAGAAGATTTCTAAACATCAGAATGGTGAGGTTCTGGATTAGCCTTCCAAAAGAAGTTACAAGAAGAAAACTCCAAAATGAAGCTTGATAAGCTTACAAAGAGGATTGGCTGACACTTAACTTTTGACAGCAGGGGACTGCACTCTTAGCTCAGGAAGTCCCTTCCAGTCTTTGTTATATTCTTGTGATCTTAGGCTTTGAAATGCCTCTTATCCCAAAATTCTGACTGGTGCAGACTCCAGTACCAGTCCTTAAGCCACCAGTTTAGCAGAGGGCTGTCCCAACTCTTTCTTTCTAGCTGTCCCATTCCCAAGACTTTTTTTCTTGGCTGAAGACAGCCTTTGTTGCCAGTCAGTGTTGCCATAAGCTCAACAAGAGTCATCCTTATAATACAACAAAAGGTTCTTGATAATTTGCCTTCATGATGATTTGAACCCCACTTGCGTGAGGTAAGACGGACCAAAATTATAGACCAAATCCAAATGTGTCAGAACCCAATCCATTCTATCCTGAAACCAATGAGAGACTTTACTTGGGTTTCTCTTCCAATGTTTCTATGCTGAATTCTTCTTCACTGCTGTAACCAGTATAGCTACGTTAGGGCAGGTCTACAGCAGGAGATTGCACTAATGTCCTGCCTTACTTATGTAACATTTTGTTGTCATTTTACATGTTGTGAAGGAAGTCCTCTTTTATATCCATGCACTGTGTCTGCATTAGTAGTGGTCACCAATGTAACTACATTGGTGTAGCCACAGCAGTGCAAAAAACTGCATTTGTCCTTATGTTCATACAAACTTTCCTTCCTTTAGAGAAGCACCCAGTGACAATTTGGTTAGGTTCCACTTCTGATGGGGAGCAAAGACTAATGGGAGCAGGCAATACCATTTTAATGGGAGCAGGCAATATACATTTTAATACCATATGTATTTAAAAAAAAAACCCCACTTAAGTCCTTCTTATGGAAACAGGATTTAATTTGGTGGTTTTCCATTCAAAGATTCCAAAGAAGCCTAAAGAAAAGTCTTAGGGTGTTTAATGTTGATGAGAACGGGTTCTTGTAGAATGTCTTTTAAAAGGCAGTCTCATTGCCTTAGATTTGATAAAGCAGAAGAAAATTATTTAACAACCTCTCCAAATTCTGTAGGGTGTTGTTAAATCAAGATAATAGGCTAAGTAATAGAGAATGTAAAAGCATACTTAAGCATTGAACTGTATAGAACCACAAATGTATATACAGTATTAAGTTGTTCCAAGAGAACCAGTGGGCACCCTGTGTCACTTTCAGATGCTAGTTGCACCATGGGCAAATAGTTTTTTAAATACTGAAAGGACAAATTCTGTATAGTCAAAGCTAGGAGATGGGCCAGCCTTTCCAGAAGTATTACATTTGCGCATTGTTTATTGGAAGTTAGTAGATTGATTCCAGATAGTTTGAACTAGATCAGGGATGTTGAACTCATCTGTCTGCCCAGGCAGGATTAGACATTTAGACCCGATCTGGTGGAGGCTGGTCCAGAGACCACAGGACTGGAAATTTGATGGCAGTGCCACTAATGTTGGTGTATTTTCCTACTGCCAGATTTTCAGCCTTGTGGGTTCCATTGCAAATCAGATGACACAGCTCTGGGCTCTGGACGCAGCTGTGGGGCTGGAAATTTGGCAGTGGGATGAGTAACGGCCATGGCTCCAGGAGGAAATGCCATGACTGTTCATCCCACTGCTAAATTTCTGGTCCTATAAGCAGCCTTCCTGGCTGAATCCAAAACACAGAACCATGTCATCTGGCCTCCAGGGCCGAAATATGGTAGTGGGATGAGTTGTGGCTGCCATGGCTCTGGGACCTGTAGCAATTAACACTACTACTGCTCATCTTGACACCAAATTTCCAGCCCCATGAGGATTCCTTTAGGCCAGCTGACTACAAATCTTGTAGGCCTTGTCTTTGACTTGCTTGAACTGGATGATCTAGTGCAGCTCTTTGTGATCTCTGATTTCTACTTCCTTTCACACTGGTAAGATAAGGTTCTCTTGTTCTGCTGTTGCAGATTGCACAGGTGTGTAAGAAACACAATACCGTTGGTCAGGACTTGGTTGCTATGTGCATCAATGACATCCTGGCCCAGGGAGCAGAGCCCCTCTTCTTCCTTGACTACTTTGCCTACAGTAAACTTGACGCTGAAGTGACCCAGGTCATCAAAGAAGGAATAGCTGATGCTTGTAGAAGAGCAGGATGTATCCTTTTGGGTAGGAGCTCTCCTTTCCTACAAGGGACTTGAATGTTCTGATATTGAACTACAGAAAATAAGAGAGACATCAGTAACTATGAGAGACCCAAGGAACTATGCTAGTCACAGGTGCTGGGCCTCATTCTCTTCTCTTGCTCTGTCTTCTGTAAAGGAGAGCAGAATTGGACCCATCAGATAGCACCCATTTTAGGTGCCTAAAATAATTCTTCTCCTTCTAAGCAAAAATATGAGAATGTATTTTTCCTTGAAGAACCATTTTGATTTTGTTCCAGAAATTGGCATATAGTCAGTCTTTTGCCTTCATGCTGTTACTTTTTTATATCTCTAAATTTCATTAACCTTTTGGGTCGTGTCGTGTCCCCATTCCCCCCCCATTTCTGGAAATCAGAAAGAAGCAGTTCTGAATTTTCTTTCAAATGTGAATTTTAGTTACATGTACCTTTTGTATCACATTGAATTCAGTTTCCCATTTCAGGCTTGAGATGTGTATAACCTTAAAGATAAAACATTGAACGTATATACACCCAGTACTGAAGTCTTTCTTCTTGCTCTAGGGACAGAGATTGCCAAAATGCCTGGCATGTATTCACTCAGCGAGTACGACCTTGCTGGCTTTGTAGTTGGTGCAGTGGAACGAAGAGAGATGCTCCTGCAGCTGGAGAGAATTGCTGATGGGGATGTAGTTATTGGACTAGCTTCTTCTGGGATTCACAGCAGTGGGTTTAACCTTGTAAGGAAGATTCTCTTAATGTCCTCTCTACACTACACTGCTCCAGTACCTGGTGGATGTGGTGACCAGACTTTAGGTATAATATTTTAAATGTAAACCTTCTTGGAAATTCATCCAGTTTGGATGCTTTCATAAAAAGATGTGGGCAAAATTTCTTGACTCCAAGACTGAATTTCCAACCTATGGTTGCCTGTCAGGGCTGCGCAAAGCTTCAGTCCCTGATTCAGTTCAGTGGCGATTCAGCCTGATTCAGTGGCCAAATCTCAGAATCCAAATTGAATCAGGAGACCCTTTAATCTGTCTGGATCGAATCGGAACCCTCCGAATCGATTCGGACAGATTTGGCAATTCGGATGTAGACACAGCTTTAAATGTTTTGTTATTTTTTTCTATATACCTCTAGGTAGCAGGCGGCTCATGAGTGCTGCAGTGGTGGGGCAGATGGAGCGTCCTACAGAAGTGTGTGGGGTCCCCGGTGCACTTGGCAGCAGACTTGGAAGTGGACCAGAAGCACTTCCGGTCCACTTCTGGGTCCACCAGGGAGTGTGCTGGGGGGCCCTTCTGTGCCCCTGTGGCTCATTGACTGGTGTCTCCTGGGTCTGGCAAGGCACAGGAGGGCCCCCTGCCTGTCCTCCCACAGCCAATTGCTGAGCTGGGAGATGCAGGGGGCCCCCTAGCACACTCCCCGGCAGACCCAGACGTGGAACGGAAGTACTTTTATGGTCCACTTCTGGGTTTGCCACCGAGCACATGGAGGGCCCCCTGCACTCCTGTGGGGCACTCCGTGTGCCCCAACATTGCAGCGTTCACAAGCTGCACTGGTACCTAAAGGTATGTAGAAAAACATTTATAGCTGTGTCTGCGTCTGAATCGCTGATTCTCCAAATCAGCATCGAATGTTCAGATTAGGATTCAGCCGAATCGAATCGGGGACAGTGATCCAAATCAATGAGTCAAATCACTGTCCCTGATTCAGGTCAAATCCGAATCGAATAGGACACGCTTCGCACACCCCTGTTGCCTATGCTTGTGGATCCAGTTCCTTGGTTTCTGACATCATTCTTCTCCTAGACCTATTCTCCACAGTGTGCACTTTTTCATATCTTTTTCCATCATGGAGGGAACAAAGAAGCACACTGATTGAAGGAGCACTCTTTGTACTACGTGATATAAGTTTCTCTGCATTGGTTTTTGTCTGTAATGATCTGATAAACACTTCTGTTCACAGGAGAGCTGTTGCTAACCCCAGTAAATATGTACAGCAAGTCTCTGCTGCCAGTCTTTCGTTCAGGGTGTGTGAAATCCTGTGCCATTATTGCTGAAGGAGGCTTGATGAAAAGCATCCCAAGAATCCTTCCTGAATCATGTGGTGTTGTTTTGGGTAAGTAAACAGTAGGAACATGTCTCTAGGTGTTATGTATATAAGCTATGGTCCCGATTTCCAACTTTATAGATTTTTAAAGTGTCAGAAAGCTATGCATGCCGTAAGCAGCATCCATTCACGATGTGCAGAAACTGAATTCTTTGACGTAGCTTCTCTAAAATAAGCATTCGGATTGAAGTTTAAAAGCTTGGTAAAGAAGCTAAATTGTACTACTTGGTCCATAATGTCTGTGTATTTAACACAGTTTTATTAAAAGGAAGTAGATTCTCCAAAGTTAGTTTTCTAGCTCAATTTTCATTGCAGAGCTGATTTTGGCCACTGCCAAAATCCACAGCACCTGGATATCAGCTACAAAAATAGCACAGGATAGCTTTAGAATTTTTCTGTAAGTTTTGAGATGAGCTGGAAGCATATTACAAAATACTAAACATTAGATGTCTCACAGATTCCAAAATTCTCCTGCTCTGTTTTGTTGTTCAGTGGAATTAAGGTAGGAAAAAAAACTAGAACCTGGATTCTTTCAGTTGTTCCCTAGACCAAAGATGACTAATTTTAATCGTAAAAGTTATTAGGATTTTACAAAGTGATGTCATGAATGGCAGGTTGGCTGTAGTGGGCTTCCAGTGTATATTTTCTTTTCTCATAAAAATGCAAAGTCTGCTTATCAATGAAGAAACTTCACCACAAGATCCAAAGCTAAGCTAACTAAATTGTTTGAAAATTAAGGTATAATAGAAGAAGTGTTTGCCATAGCTAGATAATTTGTTCAGAGCTTTTTTGCCAGAGCCTGTGCTGGGAGCAGATGGTTGGAGACTCTTCAAGTGGAGTTAGAGTGCACAGGACCAAGCTCCTGAAGTTTGTCAAAGAGTTCAGAGATGCTAAAATAGGAGATGGCACAGCAGGCTTTGTTTTATAATGTTCCTGATGAAATTGGGAAAATCAGCTGGGTGCTGATGAGTTCGCAATGTTTGCCAAGCCACTGGCCCAACCTGAACCCACAGTGGGGGAAGGCACGTGCCCAGCCCTGATCTGGTAATGCTGGGGAAGGGTGGGGAGATAACATGGCTTGGCCTGGATCTAGCTGTGCGAGTGGAGGAGACGTGGCCCGGCTCCAATCCACTGCGTGGGGGATACTGTTAGCTGCCACTGCTCCCCACTGCCAAATTTTCCTTCTGTGGGGAACCTCTCAGGCCATGTGCCAAGGCTCTGTGGGCCACGTTTGGCCTGTGGGCCAGAGGTTGAGCACCCATGATCGAGGGCGTGTGTGTCACTGTTCCGCTGCTCACATATATTAGTACGTTTTTAATTGGCTGTGCAAAGCCTCTAGCCTCCTGTTATGGGAATAAATATTAACAGGACCTGGGCAGCTAACTCTGCAATACTTTTGAAATGTAGAGGACGGTGTTTGTGGCTGCTTGTAGACAACAATTTTGTTGACCTATAAGAATTTCACCAATCTTTTTCAGATGCTTATAGCTGGAAGATACCCCAAATCTTTTCCTGGCTCCATAATGAGGGGAACCTCTCAGAAGAAGAGATGGCCCAGGCATTTAATTGTGGGATTGGTGCTGTCTTGGTGGTACAGAAGGAGTTGGCTAAGCAGGTTCTGATGGACATACAGAGACATGAAGAAGCGTGGGTGATAGGGAACATTGTCCCTATGCACACAGGTTACTGGGCCTCCTACCTGGAAATGAGGGTTAGAGGGGGAAGAATTTCACTTGTTAGGTTCTGATCCCAAATTCATTGAAAATAATGAAGTCTTCCATTGACTTCAGAGGGATTGTGCCATTTAATCTGTGCTGACACAAACCAAAGTGTTTTGGGTCTGATCATGAGAGGTGCCGAGTACCTCCTGCAAGATGCTCAAGTCCATCTCACTAGGAATTGGTGTTCCAGGGACTGTCTGCTCTGAGATGTTTTACTTGTCACCTTTGCTCATGTCTGAAGGATCTGCTCCTGTGAAAGTCAAGAATCTCCTGAAAGCCTTGCAGTTGCATGGATCCCAGTGTCAGCAAAATGCTGCTCTCTTGGACAGTCACCTCCAGCCCAGAAAGAGCAAAGTGAAAGTAGCTGTTCTCATCTCTGGAGCAGGTGAATTTGCATTTTTCATAGCCCAGGAAAGCATCCCTGTATCTGGGAAATCTGATTCAGCCTTGCTGGGTAAACATGTATAGCTCCATTTACTGCAGTGGGAATATCAGGGGGAGCATTAACTGTGTAGATTGGCGGTGTACTTAGTTTGGGCAGTTGCTTAGTTCAACTACTCCTGTTTCCTGGGTGCACTTGCCCCACGTGAAACCTCCTACTTCAATCACTGCTCAGCAACATATGTAACATAATCCATAGAGAGGGACTCACAGTCCTGTGGTCTCTCCAGCCCCTGAAAAGGTGTTGCCAGCTTTGTGCTGCTCCCTCAATGCCACAGTACAGTCCTCCTTCTCTCCCTCAAGTGAATTTCCTTCTGTAGCCTCAAGGTGGTTCTGCCTCCAGCCTTGCCACCCTGGGTCTCTTACAAGATCCTGGGAGAATCCTTGGCTTGGTTCTGCCACTGCTAGCCAAGGACTCTCTCCTGCTCTGTCTCCTCAGTCTGTCCCCAAGCTCTCCTTCCCTAGGAGCTGTTAGCTTCCTGTGGCCACCTACTGTCAGCTGCTCGGTCTCCAAGGCAGCCTGCAATCAGGCTTTACTGCCCACAGCTGGGCTGTAGTCCCTGCCAACCTGCAGGCTCCTACAGCTGGGACTGTGCAGGTTGCACCAAGTTTCTGCCAGCCAGCCAGTTACAAGCAGTCAGCAACTTTTTCTGGCTGTAGGCCTCAAGTGGGCAGACACTGGGACCCTCCAAAATCTTATGTTCACAGGCCAGATCCAATGGCTTCCACTGGTCATAAATTGCCGATGCCTGGTGCAGATCCTTGAGAAGGGGGTGCCAGAATGAATTGCTAAGGGACTGGATCCCAGTTGGTCACCTAAGCTCCTAAATTTCACACAGTTTGTGAACAGCAATACAGACTGTGGCTGTTGGAGCAGGGTCACAATCTCTTGGATGTCTAAATTCATTTAGTGTCTGCATTTTGACCGTAGGTACCTGGATTAAGCCTTGATCCTGGAACTCTCTCCTTCTATAGCGGTATCCTCAGCATTGGGCTCCTCTCCTTCTTGCCCCATGGATTGTGTATTTGGCTACCCAAGGGGCCAGCTTGGATAGGATTGGTGGAGTGCCCTTGCCCAGACTGTTCTATGGCCAGGTGGTCCAGGCTTTTTTGTTTTGTCTTGTTTTTTGAGAGGTTGGAGATTTGAGTCAGACAGACCCAGACTTCTGGTCTTCCACTGTCTGGGCAAGTGCTGTAACTCTTATGCAAAAAATGGGCACCACCACCACTAGCCACCTGCTCACTAATATGGATCTTAATCCACAGAGGCCCCTGATAGTCATCCCTGAGTCAGACACCAAAGCTCTGGAGAAGAACAGGAGTCCAGACACACCCCTGTGCCTCATGTGTCTTATAGCCTCATTCCCTGTTAAGGATCTCAGTGCTCTGGCTTCCTTACCAGGGGTTCCCTGCTCTCTCCATTTACTTTACAGGGAGCCTTGATACCTAGGTCCCCCACTGGGAATCCTCCTCCTAGGCCCAGGAACCTGGGTTTTTTGGAGGTTGCAGTCATTACATGAAGCAGACCTGGAGTGTTCAGTATGAGTCAGCAAACTCCTTCTGCAGCCTGTAAAGCTGCTTGTGTGTTCACGTTGTGCTCTGGCCTGCAGGTGATGCAAAGACATCTGTGCGGGATAGGTCTCAGCTGCCGTCTGAGGGGTAGATGTCCTTTCCTGTGAGTAACTCTGACACTGGGGAGCTATGTGGGAGAACACCAATGACCCTCCTACCCAAAGCCACAGAGCTGGTTTGCTGGAGTAACCTCTCTGGGCATCCCTTGTCTCCTCCCCTCTCCCCCCACTTGTCCAAATTCCCCTGCATTCTGGTTTCTCCAATGAGCATGCTTTCTGGATCCTACCCATTATGTTCTGGGTGAAGTTATAGGTTTTGACCATTTATATGTTTGAATGCTTCTAGTCATTGGCAGTTTGTGAGATTATAGAACACCCATGTCAATTTTTCCCCCTGGAAGAGAACTGGTTTAAAAGACTAATCAACAAAGTTGTACATTCCTGAGGTGGAAGGTGACTCTCTTAGAACAGATAACACGTTCTTCCCCAGCTAAATGATTCTTTTTGTTATTCATTGATTCTACTTTCCCTCTGCAATAAAGATTTCCTCGAGCTATTACATACCTAGAGAGCTGAAAGTCCAGAAGAAGCACTTGGTGAATATCCTGTGCTTGCTCACAGCTGTTGGGGACAGGCATGACTGAGCCACTGTGGTCCTGTTATATAGAAGGGATGGGAGCATGTGGGTGTCTGCATCAACAGCCAACTGAAGGCATCTCAGTGATTGTGACTCTCTCCTTTGTTGTATAGGGGAATGGGGCAGGATCCAGTGGTTAGTGCTCTGCAGAGACAGACATGTAGAGCTGTCACGGGCTGCTGCAGCTGTGGGGTTCTGGAAGCAGCCACGGAGAGACCCACTTGTCTCAGCATTGAGTTCCCTAAGCCAAGCCTGGTACCTTGTTTTGATACGTTTTCCTCCAAATCCTACCCTATTCTACACAAGAGAACCCCCAGTGACTCAAATGTGCCTGGCCCCAGCTGATGAGAACAAGAGCAGCCTTCCATGCTTTGGCCTACCCTTTTCTCTCACGGCGCTGCTTTTGTAACGTCAGTTCCCAGGGTAGCAGAAAGAGGAAGTTAGCCCTGAATGCTCAACTACATGCAAATGGATTTTAATACCCATGTTTCTGCAAAAAGGTGTCTGCATGAGGCACAGCAGCCCTGCAGGCCTGTAACTTAGCTGCATTCTGACCTGTCTTTAGTAAAATCTTTATTGAATTATTTCATGCTTAAGAATACATTGCAAATCATGGCAGGAGTGGGGAGTATAAGCCTTCTATCCAGAAGTATTGCCTTTCTTTATAAGATATGGGAGGGAAGGAGCCATATGTTTGCAGAGTACATACTGCAGTGGTACCCTCATCCTATTAGGAGCCTCTGGGCAACACCATATTATTAAGTGATAATGTGGAGCCAGGTTATTAGAATGGTGGTGTGCAGGGGCAGAAAAAAAGCATAGTTTACTATGGATAGCAGTTCCGGCTTTCAGCAGGCTTCTGTCACTGCTCCTGCAGAATACATGTCCATGGTTTTTCACACACATGATGAGCACTTGTGAGCCCTTGAAGGAGTTCAGGTGTGCAAACTGGACACTTCCATGCTGTGCCTGAACAAATATCTGGGAGTATCCACATTCGGGACAGGTTCTCTGGAAACAGATGTGTCTGCACAAAAACGGTAGGCTTGTTAATGGAAGCCAAGAGGTGTAGAACGCAAACTTTGTGGACCCAAATCACATAATTTGTTGTATTGGATAGGTAATGGCCTGTGGTTAGGAGTCAGCTGTCTTACATAGATATGCAGCCCCTGTTACATGACTGGTTCTTTTTCTCTCCTTTTTTTTATTTGAGGTACCAGCCTTGCAGCACTTATTGCTTATACAAAAGAATCAGCAAGCTGTGCCCAAGTGGCCCTTGTCATTTCCAACAAGCCTGGGGTGGAAGAACTGAGGAATGCAGCCAGGGCAGGGATTCCCACCAGGGTAAGAACACCCAGTTCCAGTCTAACCACACTCCAACAGTTCATGAATTTTACAGGTCTGGGAGAAGCTCTTGCTAAATAGTTTTTGGTCCAGACTTAGCAAGCATAAAAAAGTTTAAATATGTACTTGTCAGATGCAGCTAGTCTGAAGTCAAGTAGAAGGCAGGGTAGATTTGCACCTTATCACTGTTATCAGCTAAGCAAGAAACAATGGCATCTCTCTGAAGGCAATGGAAATTTAGTCTTTCAATCAACTTCCATTAGTTGGGGTAGGGCTTCAGACATTTAAGTCTCACTGATTTCAGTTTGTCTACTTACTTCACAGGATCTTTGAGCGGGTGTGAATTCAGAATGGGAGGGTATCTGTCTCTGTTGTACTTTTCCACACTTCTCAAAAGCCTTAGGAAAAATGTTGTTACAGCGTATCCTTTCCTGGCTGTCAGCTGAGCTAGAAGAAATGGTGGGTCTTTCCCTACACAAAGTTGAAGAGGGCAGGAATGGAAAAGGGGTGTGAATGACATGTGAGCACTCACAAGGTTGTGATTACACTCTTTTAACAAGACAACTGTTTGGGGCGTAATTGATTTTTATTTTTCCTTATGTGTTCCCTGTGCCTCTCCTGTTCTTATGCATTCAGTTCTTTGGGTGTGTTTTAACATTAGGTGATTGACCATAAATTGTATGGCAGCCGCTCTGAATTTGACGGCACAATCGACAGAGTCCTTGAAGAATTCTCTGTTGAACTGATCTGCCTGGCAGGATTTATGAGAATTTTGTCCAGCACCTTCCTCAGAAAGTGGAGTGGTAAGAAACCAGGGTAATCGATTCTTCCCAATAGCTGTAATAGAGGCATGAAGAGACTGAGACTGGATCTCTCCAGCAGCTATGCAGTAGGGCTCTGCATTACCAATATGGAGACAGCCTGACACCTTTACTTGCGTTGAGTAATGCCTTAGTCATGGCGTTTCAGTTGTATGCTCTCATTCATTTATTCACGTCGGTGAGGCTATGCTATGAGCAAAGCAGTAGCCAGAGGCAGTGTGGCCTGGCTAGGCTGTTGGCATGGTGCTAGTGCAGGACACCTTTATGCTATAGCGCATGGTAGCAGCGGGTAGGAAAGCAGGAGGCACAGAGGCACAGGATTTATGCCTATTCCCTACCAAAGCCATGTCCATCTCTGCTGCCCTTGTGGCTTTGGAGCTGCTTGGCCTGTGGATAGCAATCCTGGCTGGCCCATGTGGATGAGGTAGGGAGGCTGCAAAGTACGTGGAAGCTTGTTTCTGTCCCTTGCAACCTGCCCAAAGACATCGGTGTACCAGGGGGTGAAAGGGCTTTGGGTGTGGACCTGCACAGAACATCAGGGACTCTGGGACAGACTTGAAAGTCCTTTCTTCCTCTGGGGCTGCTCCAGAAGCAGCGCAGCATGGCAGTATACCTGTACTTTGGCTTGCCATGAACTTTAGGGGAGTGGTTCCCAAATTCTGACAGATTATGCACCACCAATTTTAAAATGATACAGCCTTAAGTACCACCAGTAAATTTTTGTCATATAAAGTAAGATTAATAAATCTGTTAATGTGGGCCACTGACAGGTTGTCTGCATGCCTACTGGTGGTACTTATACCACAGATTGGGAAGTGCTGTGGTAGGCTATTAGAATCTAACTTTTAGGGACCTGGGTTCCTTCACACATGCTCCTTGCCCAGAGTGGCAGGGGATATATACTCCAGCTTTATATTTACTCAGGGGGCTGCTCCTCCCTCTCAAATGAATCCTCTGTCCTAATTAACATTGACCGATTTCCTGAGGCCATACCTAGAAGGTTTTTCTTTTTAGTCGGTCCTTGAAGAGCGTAGGTCACCTTTGGTTATGGGGCTGCACAACCTACTCTTTCTTCCCCCTGTCCTACCTCCTATGCAGAGCAGTGACATGGATCTGCCATTCAGGAGAGCAGACAAAGCCTTACCACCTACATCTCCCCTTGGGCCGATGACTCTCTTAGCCTTAGCTCACATCTGCTTTAGCTTGGATTGCCCCAGTCTCTGCACCTTGCCACCCTGACGCCATAAAATACGATATTTAATAAACTGCTTCAGATCTAGCACCTCCAGCAAAGTTCCACCTATCTTGCTGATGTATAAGGTGAGAGCCCCTGATTTGGCTCTGACTTCTGGTTGGAACCTTTCAGACTGTTGAATGACACTTATGAGCAGGACCCTTGTGAGCAAAGATATTTACATGTTGTCAGTCATTCCTAAGCTAATGTTGAAGGGAATTCGGCTAACTTTATCTTTTTTTTTTTCATGTTAATATTTAGGAAAAATTTTGAATGTTTATCCATCTCTTTCGCCACCAGTGAAAGGGGGAAATGCCTATAAGCCAGTGCTACAACCAGGCCTCAAAGTGACTGGCTGTACAGTGCATTTTGTACTGGTAAGTGTGCCGCTGCCTATGAGAATTGCTCTAAATATATGCAAGTGATGAGTATTGCTTGTTTTATTCATCCCTGAATGGCATGAACAGTGACTTGCTAACTGCAGTCTAATTCACTTGTCCCTGGAATTAACAAAACTATGAAGAGTTGGGAGTTTGAATTCCTGTAGGAAGGTCAATTGATGAGTAAGGCTGTACAAAAATGGGTCTTAGCCTGGGAGGCACCTGTATTCAAGCCTTCCTCTCCCATTGAAGCCCATCCTTGCAGTGGTCCTACCCCCTTCCAGTGCCTTACTTCTGCTCTCTTATCCTTTCCCTCGTACTCAACCACTTGCATTCCTTTCTTTCCCCTCACAGAACAGTCCTGGGCCTGTCCTAGTCTCTCCTACAACCCCACTTGCTTCTTAGGCTGCCACCACAGATCTCCTCACCTGTCCTTCCTTACTCCTTAAATGAGTGGTCACACTTATACTATTCTCCTCTTCCAGTAGACTGCCGGCGCTAGTGCAGATGCTCTTATCAGGAGATCTAGTGCCCCCTTCCTGCTCAGATCTCAGGGTCTCTGCTGTATATATGCACTCTTCTCAACTTGCTTGAAACTTGCATGTGCTTAGAAGGGGATGGTTGTATGGCAAGCCAATAGGGGGTGCTCCTGCGCTGAGCTACCTGCCCCACTGCACCCAGCCAAAACCATGTTTCAGGTGTCTCTCCTGGGGTGCCCACGTCTGGCCAACCCAGTTCCTGGAGCACACCCGCAAGCCTGGTGTAACTGCTGCTACCACCCTAGATCTGGTTTTTGTTAGGGCCCTGTGCCGCCCAGGATACACAGACCCTGTAGACCTTGGGGGTACTTCTTATAACCAGAAGCATAGAAAGTAGCTTCCCATAGTCAGCGGAGCAAAGGGAGCAAAAAGTGTTGCCCAGTCCCTCTGAAACATTTACAAGGCTTACTGTATCAGATAGCTGTATTGGGTAGAGAGGGTAGGCATGGGGAGGGGTACAATTCAGAGAAGTATGAAAAGAACAACCCTGAGCAAATGGAAGTGCCTTGATAGCCTTATGCTTCTAGAGCACTTTATTCTAAGTTACTGGCTAAATTTCAGGTAGGTTACTCATGTGTTCATTCAGAGTTTAAAAGAGCTCCAGAGGCCATTTGCTTGTCTCTGTGTTTCCCAAAGATGTTTGCCCTCATCCAACATGGAGGGACCCTCTTAAATAGCCCTCCTGACCCCATCACCTGGACCCGGTCAGGGACAGGTGTTTTTCACATTGGTCAGCATCAGCGTTACCTATTGGAGTGACATTGGCTTAAGCCTAGCCCCCATGTTGTGTGGTCAGAACTCATAACAATGGAGAGGCTAGATCCACCCCATCCTACCTGAGATAGGTAGGCAGAAAATCAGTTGCCTAGGGAACCAGGTTGACAGACATGTGAAAAGACAAAGAGAAAAAAGAAAAGGGGGGGGAAAAAACCCTAAGTGAAAGAGCAGAGCCATGCGCCCTGTAAGTTTTTTGTTACATACTGTATAAGTGTTTCCCTCCTAGGAGGAGTCCAGTGCAGGAGCAGTAATTCACCAGGAGCTCATTCCTGTGAAGGTGGATGACACGGAGGAGACCTTGTCTGAAAGGCTGAGGGAAGCAGAGTGCCGAGCCTTTCCCATTGCCCTGCAGCTGGTGGCCAAGGGAACAGTGCAGCTAGGAGCAGATGGGAAAACCTGCTGCAAACCAGAAGGCCAACAGCTGATTCATCAAGGTACATCAGAGGGTAGGAATTCATCAAGAGGTTTGGAACAGGTTGACAGGCAGTAGCCTTTGGCTAATAGCTCACCAGTGGGAATGCTGGCCTGCTAAGGCTGCATTCTGGGTTTTGAGGCCAGTCTCTGCTCCCATATCCCAGCAAAGCTTGTTCTCTGCTAGCCTGATGCCTTTTTGCAGCCTCCTTGAACTGAAACTAGTGAGCTGTGTGTATATCCATGAAACTTCTGATCCTGTTGAGCCTACAGCCTCTGTTTGGGAGGGTGAGACGGGCATTTAGGTCGTTCCATCACTGTCTCAGGTGGAGTGGAGGGAGCCACTCACTTCTCCTGAGGGCCTGGCAGCTCCTGGCTGGTTGGGCTCAAGAGCTCCTCTTTTTCCCTCTTACACAAAGGGGAGAAGGCTTCGAACGGGGAAGCCAGGCTCATATAGCCAAACTCCCTCCCTTCCTTTGCCAAATGCACGGGTGACAGCAGGCTTCCCATGTTTATCCCAACAGACACAGGCAACAGCAGGCTGGAAGCTGGGGCCCCTGCCTTGCATGACAGCCAAAAAAAAGTATGAAGGCCACAGCCTGGAGCAGCAGCTGGGTCTAGCCAGTGTCTTCCAAGGCATGGGTAAGTGGAGCCAAGGCCAGGGTCTACTTTCCTGGAACTGCCCTTGTGCAATAAGAGGCAGTGTTGAGGAGATGTCAGCACTCCTTGGCTGATTGTTCAGTGGTGTCAAGGTCAAGGCCCTGCATTTTAAGACTACCATGTCCCTAGGGAAGCTGCTTCCACCCTGCCCTGTGCCATGTTGGAATGAAACCAATAAGCATATTCCTCACAGTATGTTCTCAGCTCTGCAATTGCAGATTCTTTGCTGCAGCAGTGTCAGAACCTAAATCACCCTCTCAGGGTACATGCCTCTATTTTCAGCTACATCTTAGAAAGGGGGAATTTACTGTGTAGATGCACACATACAGCTGCAGTTTGTTTATTTATTTTTTACATCTTGCTTCCTTTAAGAAAGTAATGCATTGGCTTCTGAGGGAAACTGTTAAAGGATAAGTTGTCGGCTGCTTTTGATTGTTCCATCTGATTCCAGAAAACCATAGGCTTCCCAAGTATGCACACAATGTACACACAGAAGCAGGAGCCATGGTACAAGAACTGGATGGCAAGGTGCTTCTGTTGGGCAGGCCTGGCTCAGGAGGTGAGAATAAGGGATGAGTGGAAATGCAAATATAATCAAAGGGAATAGGAGTCTTGCTGAACATTATTCCTTAACATCACCCTAGTTAGAGGTTGCCTCATGTTTGCCTCCTCCATGGTGGACGTTTTGCTACACATGATGGGGAGGGAACAAGGTTTCTGTTGCCTAGAAGGCATAAAGTTTTCTTGATCAATTGTGAATTCTTTCTGCCTATGACAAGGTAGCCCAATACTGGTCGCATCAGTATCACTTGTTACACTTCTAGCTCTAGTGCCCCAGGGTGCTGGTTCTAATAGCCCCCTTCTAGGGTCCTGCACTCAAATAGTTAAAAATGCAGTTAAACATGTTCTTAAATGCTTGAAAATGCTTCATGGAAAACTGTGGTTTTTGCATCAAAGTTATCTCTTAAATAAGGTCCTTGAGCCAGCTGCCACACTGTAGTGGGTAGCAGAGCCCAGAGGCGACTAATAGGCTTTTGAAAGGGGAAATTAAAGAAGAGAATCAGGCCACCCTCACCTGGCTTGAATTCTCAGGGACAGGGGTTATTCCCTTGATCTTTCCCTTGTTCTGTTGCAGAATTTTTTAAGGATTATTCAAAAGATCATCCAACTTCTTGAAAGGGAAAGAGGGTGTCCAAAGATAGTGCAGCATCCATTGTGAAAACCTTTTGGATCTTGGTAAGGAAGCAAAGAAGAGCTGGAAGTGCATTTCCTGGGTTTCTTGCTAGGAAAGAACAGATAATTCACAAATAGGAGGTAGCCTAGTTGACTTGCAATGGCAAAGAAAATCTCCATGTTCTTCGATAGCGACCCAGAAACAAGTTTGGCAGTGAGATGTTTTTTATAAAAGGCCTTTGCACAAGTGTGGGTCTTACTTTGTCTGCTAAAATAATAGATCATGTACAAATAAATCAGTGGGGAGGGAAGTCAGCCAAGAAATTATTCACTAAACTGAAAAAGAAATGAGAACTGAACTTTCCAGTATAGGGTTCACTGATTTGATTAGCTCAGGGACATTAACACCTAGTAGGGTTCAGTGGATTAATGTTGTTTTGGATTCTGATTACAAGTACTGTACTAATAGGGGGCATGCTGTATGTCAGATTCTAGGCTGCAGCAAATCATTTCAGAAGCCAAATTAGATTCGTTATAAATTTTGGAGTGAAAGAATTTTACACCTCTGTAATTTCTGCATTCATGCTTGTGTTGTGGATAACATGCTTCACTGGAGGAGGAAAGAAAAGAACACTATTCCGCACTGGCAGACAAGGTTCTTTGGGTGAATCTGATATCTTTTATTAGATCAACTTAGATAGTTGGAAAAAAATGTTTAGCAAGGTTTTGGGTTTAAAAACCCTTTGCCAGGCTAAGGAAGTCTATGCAGTTGGTGTGTGCTCTTCCTGGATGGAATGAATAGTAAAGAGGCCAGAGGCTGGTATGCATGCAAGACAGGCAGTCAGTGAAGATGTAAACTGAGGAGTCAGTGGGTGAGACGTAGACTGGGGGGCGGTGGAGAGGAGAGAGAAAAAGAGGATGAATGTAGCAGTTAAATAGTGGAGAGGTACCAGGGGAGTCAGATGTCAGGCAGGTTATAATATGTCATAAATCCAATGTCTGTAATTAGTCCATGACTTTGTATCCAGGTTGATGAAGTGAAGTTCATAGGCTCGTCTTTGAGAAGTATTTTGAGGATTGGAACTGGGAGATTGGAGAGAGAGTCGTTTTCTTGTGAGAAATGTGCCCCAAACAACTGTGCACCAGAGTGAATGCACATCAGAAACCTATCAAAGACAAGAATACCCAATTGCTGGTGGGGGCACATGTTTCACAAGAAAACCACTCTCTCTCCAATCTCTCAATTCTAATCCTCAAAAGGGAACTTACAAAATACTTCTCAAAGACGAGCCTATGAACTTTACTTCATCAACCTGGATACAAAGTCATGGACTAATTATAGACATTGGATTTATGACATATTACAACCTGCCTGACATCCGAGTTCCCAGGTATCTCTCCACTATTTAACTGCTACATTCATCCCCCTTTTCTCTCCCTCCATCCCCAGCCTGTGTCTCACCCGCTGACTCCAGTTTACATCTTCACTGCCCGCCTGTCTTGCATGCATACCAGCCCAGCATTTGGCTTCCTTACTATTCATTCCATCCAGGAAGAGCACACACCAACTGCAGACGGTTCCTCAGCCTGATGAAGGGCTTTTAAACCCAAAAGTGTGCTAAAATTTTTTTTCCCGCTATTAAAGTTGGTTTAATAAAATATATCAGATTCATCCAAAGAACCTTGTCTGCCTATCTCCTTAGACCAACACGGCTACAACCTACACCCTTATTCCTTATTGTTATCTATTGTCTACTCAAGATGTATACTGACTCTTTTGAGCAAAAGATGGAATTTTTTTTTATGGTGTAGTGATTGCAGTAAAAAGCTTGTGTTTTTTCTCTCTTTCCCTGTGTTATCACAAATACAGTCTTCTCATATACATAGGATAAACGGACATAATTTCTGCTGCTGTTATATAGTACTGTTCTTCTGTATGCTGTCTTGAATTGTGCATTATTCTTTCAATATTTTAACAGGGAACAAATAAAATATTAAAGATGGTACAACAAAAACTACTAGAAGCTTCTCTGGCTCCTTTTAAGTGACACCTAGTACCTTTTAAAAAAACCTCTGATCTTTAATACTTTTCCTTAACACTGCTTCACAATAGGCTCTACTTCTTTATAGACTAGCAACTGAGGCCCACATGCTAAGAGCCAGACTTACAAATTTACTTAAATGGCTGATGGATTTGTGAACGTGGCCCAGCAAGTTGGGTAGTGTAATTCTTTTGAAGAGTTATTTGTCTGTAGGCAGCAAAGTTCCTTTTTAATTCTGTCTTGAAGTGTCTTGCCCAAGGAAATTTGTGCCAGAACAAAGACATAGCCCAGGGCAGAATCCTAACTAATGGACTTGCGTCCTTTTAAGGTAACATTCTCCCCCACTGGTTAGGTACACTAGTAAAGATTAGCCAAAACAACACCGAGTGAAATTCTTTCCTGTATATGTTCAGTCTACAGCTGTTAACAGTTTATTTGTAGAAGTGTCCAAGTGTGATATACTAAATCTATATAGGTGTGTGACGTGTCCATGTTTAGAGCTCCACAAGCTGGTTCATCTTGAGCTTTCCCTTGCATTCTAGTTGAAAGGCTTTACATTTGGATGGTATTTATAATTTGAACAGGAGAAGCTAGATAACTTTCATGTCAAGCTTTGCAACTCCAAGGGACCACTGCATGCAAGTGAAGGAAGCCCTTCTGCAGTTGTTAGTGTTTGCAAGAAAAAATGCTTTAAGTATGTACTTTACATTCCTATTTAATTTCCCATGACAGTTTCATGTATGTGCTTGCATGGCTTCTATCCCCAGATGATCAATAATCATATGATAGAAAGTCAGCAACTTTCTTTATTACATACTACCTGGTTACTGAGGGCACCTATACATGTGCTCCGGGGTGGGAGGGGTGTTTTAGCAGGAGCCACTCTAATTAAAATACCCACAAGCATCCTGTGTATTCAGCGTCTTGCATTTTCAGAATAGTGGCAGGGGTCCTATTTTAACTAAAGCTATTGACAAGCTTTAGTTAAAGTGCTCCTGCTGCCATTTTGAAACGTGGGGATGCTGAATACATGAGACACTGCAGCATGCTGGAGCGTTCAGATTAGAACATTCAGCCACACTCGATTTAATCAAGTCTGCTCCGGTACATTGTGTTCGGAACACGTTGGAGCACATGTCAAAGTGCCCTGAGACTAGAAGGTCCATAACCCTTAAGACTTGAGTTCTTGGCGGAAGAATCTCAAGAAAAGATTCAAATAATGTCAATTAAAGTTTATTTTGTTCTAACTTCTATTCAAATTGGATTTGAAATTTATTACAGAAGTGAAACCTGTTGAAATACAGAAATATCTAAAGTACAGTATGAAAACCAGCTTTTGGTGTAATTAAGTGGGATTAGATTACATTTTTTTTTAAACAAGATCAATTTGAAATAAGGTGCTTGTAAGTTTATGGAGAAGTTGATTTACTTGAGCAAATTAAATTACTCCTAACACCTTTGCATTGATACTCAAAACATTAAAAACAAGGGAGGTGCTTAGAGAGGTAAAAATTCAACTCTGTAATCACTCCAATAATGCTTCGGAGAATAATTAGGGCATATTTCAGCTGCAAATAATTTTGTCAGAACACGTGGATCTGCAAAGACTAGATTTAAAGAATTTCACATAAAGATTACCAAGCACAGGAAAACATTTCAAAGTAAATAAACCCCTTTGACTCCAAGCTTCCCTTAGCATTCCCATTTCATATCTGTATTCCCCCTGGATGTTAAGAATGCTGTGTGACTTCTGCCAGATAGCAGCTCCATCATCTACAGTCTAGGTAGAATAATTTGGCCTAAAAAACCCATGTTGCAGTAGAGAAATCTTTTAGTATAGTTTCTTTAAGCATAGTCTTCTCTGGCTAGGATCGCGTCTCGTCTTGTCTTGTCTCTCCATCACTAACTTGGGTACCACCCTTTAGTTTACTGGCTCCATGGTTTATTCTGAAACACTTCTTACAGCACAAATTAACAAATCTGACAGAAGAGCTAAAACTGCCAAAAATCTGTCAACTATTATGGACTAACAGGCTTTAATTGATATGATCCTTTTCTGAAGCACCTCTGAGGTGCTTAGCTCCCTTGGATTCTTTGACTGATAAATGGGACTAACAGAGTCAGGTGAAGTGATGTGAAAAGTGGCAGACAAAGCATTGATAATTAAGTTATGATGGTCCCCATTATCAGCTACAAGCCCCAGCAAGTGGGAACCTCCCTCTTCCCTCCCCATTTCTGGCTTTCCCTTGTGTCTTCTGTTGAGATCTTTAGGCACTTGAAAGAGGATGTAGAAATCCTGCTGGTATGACCTAGGAGATCCTACACTATAACGCACTTCACGAACAGAATAAAAGCAGTCGTGCTTGTTAGGTTCTGTTCTCCATTTTGATTTGTTCCTTTTAGTAGACCTGTTCCATGTTTTCCATTTTCATGTCCAGGAGCCTTCTCAACTGCATTATTCCTACTTCCAGCAGACTCTGCCAGCTTCTCCTACCTGCACTGCCCCACTGGCCACAAGCTGGAGGGCAGCAGGAAAGGCTCTGTGTTCAGCTTCTTTTACTCTTTCTGATAAGGTCTCCACTGTGTCTCCAACCTTCACTGGAACAGCCTCTTGGAAGATTATAGCCCCAGCATCAACTTCCTCCTGGAAAAAGAAAGCCCACAGCATTTTCTGCAATGGAAAACAGCACAGCAGTAGGAAAGTTCTTTGATCTCATTACTCTGGACAAAATTTTATCATTTTTTCCTGTGACAGTATAATGTTATGTGAGGAGTGAAGAAAGACACTGATGCAGAGAACTGAGGGGACGGAGGAGTAGGGTGATTATGATGAAGACACATACAGTATTTCTGAGTCTGAAATAGTCCCCCACAGAAAGCTGAGAAAGTTGTTTTCCATATCCCAGCTACGTAAACAAGGAAAAAAAATATGGATCAAATAGCAGGCTTGCATTCTGCACAAATACCAAGAAGATGGTACACTCCCAAGTTTGGAATTAATCTGATCTCCAGTTTCTGAGCTTTTCTGAGCAGGTGCGAAGGCCAAAAACTTTTGTTTTAAATCATTCAGTTCACATTTGAGCTGCAAGAAAAAGCATTAAATACCAAGCAACCTGAGATAAAATTGCAAGAATTAGCTGCTCTACTCATCAGATTCTGGGGATCACCAGGGTCTTGCTTGAATGAGTGCTCCTTTACTGCATCTGGAGGAACTAAACTAGTGTTAAACAACAGTAACTGCCAGGGGAGGGAAAAACCCTAGTATCTACGGTCTCAATTCTAGTTCAGTGTTATTTTCCCATTCCCTTCAGTTACCAATAATATTGTAAAGAATTAAAATCTTACCCCCATTATTTGTACACTTATAGTAAAAGACATAGGGTGAAATGATCTTAGTTAGCTGCATACTTTTGAGCTACAGCTACTTACGGCTACAAAGTGCACAGTACAGCCAGTGACCCGGACTCCAGCTTCTAATACTAATTTATGGGCATTTGCTCCCTTAAAAGAAGGCAGTAAGGATGGGTGGATATTCAGTATTTTTCCTAGAAAAGAAGAAATGAAATGCATCACTTTTAAGCTCTCAGCCCTAGTTTCACAGGCTTAACTGTCGAGTAAAGGCCTCATCACTATACAACATTGGTTTACCAATGGGGAAGAAAAAGCTGCTGTCCTTCACATTTGAAATGTAAAAGTTTATATATGAAAAACCAAGCGTTAACAACAAATAAGATAACCAACCCAAAGGGTTTTTGGGAGTCTCCATTTCTCTACCTTACCATTTTAACTGACCAAAGCTAGGAACTAATCAACATGAGTAACTAATTATAGCCTACTTGTCCCAACGATCACCATGATGCTTATTTACAGCTCCTTAAATTCTCAGCATTCTTTTCCCAGCATCCTGTTTTCTTCTTCCTCTCTTATGCCAGAGTGAATTACAAAAGTTGCCTCTAGTACAGTGAGCCTCATAGGAACTTCTATGAAAGGACTGAGAATTCTTCCTAGTTTTTTTCTCCCAATGACTGTGACTTATTTTGGCTTAACAGAAGAGAAGTAGCTTAGACTGGAGTGCTCCTCTGCCTTTCCACAAACCACATGCACACATCTTTTCCCCCCTATTTGAAAAATGAACCGGAAATTCCTTCTTATGGTCAGCCAGCTGGAACCAGGATAGTACTAAGGAGCCTGAGACCTCCCCTTTTTTCCTGCACCCAAGAGCACATGCTCTCTAAGCATTCCACTCCCTGGCTAGCCTAGGGTACAAGCCAAAAGTTAAAGAGGCAATCATATGCTTGCATACACATTAGACCCTCAGGCTTTCCTTGGTTCTTAAAAATCTTTCTCCCCATCGCTAATAAGTGAATACTTTGCCTGTGACAAATTGCCCAGGAAATCTTGGCCTAGGCTGAACTCAAGGGAGTCATGGCCTTTTATGGCAGCAGATCTACCACTCAATTTAGAGCAAACTCTTAAAAATTCTTCTTTGGACAAGAGGAAAACACAACAGCCTTTTAGACCATTTATGACCACTGAGCATCTTATCTCCTGGTGGCTATATGCAGCACTACATGCTATGCTACTTCTGTGTAACTTGTGTGCTACACCAACTGCCATACAGTGAGCTTCTGGGCTAACTCCTGTTGGTGTAGCAGCACACCAATTAAAATGTGCATGGAAAATGTGCAAGAATGGTAAAAGATAAGTAAAAACCCCAAAATTCATGAATGCAAAAACAAAAGGTGGAGTGTGGTAGAGATTTATGGCATAAAAAAAAAAATCAATAACATCTCTAGTTTGCTTTGTTCAAATAAGGCTTTTCTTCAGTATCACTACACCAGCAACACACTGCTTCTTCCTTGAGCAAACAAAACACCAAAAACAATACACTGAAAAGGACATGTCACTTGCGCCTGCATCCCCTTATTTCCTCTGAAGCTGCATTACAGGAAGCTGCTCTTTACTTATCCTTTCTGATAAGATTCATGGCCAACATTCCAAGGCCCTACATGAAACAGGAGAGTGTCACACTGAATTCTACTCTCTATCTCCACCTCTGTGGCTGCCTCTACAGAAAATGTTTACTAATTGCAGTTGACCAATTAACTGCACAATAAACATCTCAGTGTCTACACATGCACCTCTATAAACTCCAATGCAGGGTAGGACTTACATTTACAAGTCCTACCCTGCTGCAGAGTTTTTTTGTGCAACAGCGCACATGTAGATGCTGACCCAGCTGGCCAGGGCATGGGGGTGCTTCAGTATTAGGGCTGCCTGCTGACTAGCCCTGCATTAAAGCACCTTCATGGCCCAGCCAGTCCCTCCACAGCACACTGAGGCTGGTCCCCAGGCTGACCCCTGGGGTCCTATACCAGCCAAGGCTGCTTCAGCTAGACTCCACGTGCTGCACATGAATAAACTCGAGAGCTAATTGCTCTGGAATTATTTGCTCCTGGGTGCACGTTCAGACAGCGTGCTGGGGAGCAAAAAACTGATCGTCCCAGTTGGTCTGAAACAAAACACACAGGGTGCGTCTACCACATGCAATCAGTGTACATGAATAAACTCCAGGGCTTATTGCTCCAAAATACTAGCGCTACCAAAGGAGAAGCTAAAAGCATTGAGGACATCAGAAGCAGCAGAAACAGAATAGGCCGGTTGGGTTTGGGCAAAAATACCAGCTTAGATTAATCTGTTCTTATGTGCCACACTGACCAAGGTCATATTTTTGTTGACGACTGCAGTGCACATTGCTCAGTCTGCATTAAGACTGACACAGATGCTTCCGAATCTTTCAGATTAAAATGCAGCATGTAAATATGAAGGCTTACTAATGCACAGAACTGTGAATGAAGTCCAGCAGACATTCAGAGAAAACAGAAACAGCACAGAGCACTTTGCTCCTTGAACCAACAGAAATGGACTTGGGTTTTTTTGCCAAGTAATTTCAGTGTGAGAGGGATTTCTCTCTAATACCCTCTGCACAGAAATGGGTTATCTACTCCACCCCTACCATACAGAAACCCAAAATGCAAAGTCAAAATGCAAAGATTAACTTGGGAAAGGTGCTAGCTCCTCCCCTTCTCTCATGTATCTCTGAGAGGTGAGAAAACCCTGGCTTCTTGACAAACCCATGGTTATCTTGGTCCTATTCTAACTTTTCCTTTTTAGCTTTTCTTGTAGTACCTGCAGCTAAGGCTGAAGAGTGTGTCCCAGAGAGTGGCTGACTGGTACAATGGGACCAATGGAAGTGTGAGTTTAAAGAGCAGCACACAGGTAGTTGCCCTGTTTAAAATAGAAGTCAGTTGTAGAAGTGTCTTACTTCAAACTTGGGCCTGGGTTTGGGAAGAGGTGAGGCTAAGGGAAGTCATGGTGCTATGCTGGCCTGGGGGGAAGACATTATCATCAAGCCAATCCACGGATAAAACATGTCCCTCCCCAGTATCATTTGGTTGGAGAGCTCAGATATGGGCTCAAATCATTTTGGTATCCAGGGCACAAAGTATGTGCTTTCACATCTTATTACAGTTATTAAAGACTAGAGCATTTATCGGATGGTCTTGCAATTTAAGTTATTTCAATAAATGCTGCAGCCTCAAGCTTTAAGCAAATCCCTTTATGTATCTTCACTTTCTTAACTGAATGTCTAGTTGTCTAGCTAATGGAATACAACTATTACTGCTGTCATTAACTGAAGTACCATTAAGGCATTCAGAAGTTTCTCAGCCCCCAGCCACCTCCTCCACAAATAAGCTACTCAAGTTACACATATTTTAGGGAGAGAATTCTCCCTTCAAACCTCCAGCAGTGTTATAACCTTTTAAAAATATAGCAAATAGCTAACAATGTACTTAGATTTCTATGAACTGACCAACATCTATTTGCTTTTGACTTGCTAAATTCAATGCTGGTCACATTTGTAATGTTTTGTTGTATTTGTAAGTGTATATTAAAAGAACATGCCTACCGTCCCACTTTTTGACAAAAGGACCAGATAAAATTCGCATAAATCCTGCAAGACAGATCAGTTCAACTGAAAATTCTTCAAGAACTTTATCAACTGCATTATCAAATTCTGTGCGACTTGCATACAGTTTATGGTCAATAACCTGCAATAGTTAAGAGCGAAACACAGACATGAATTTACTTTACTGTCAAAACAATTAAACTCTGCATTCTAGTCAAACACAAAGTCTGGCTAACTTGGGTTCTACAAGGATGGGCACTTTAGAAATGCATCACTGTTGGCAAGACCTTTCATCTATCGTGCATCATCTAGTTTCCTCCTCATGACGGAATTGTCTGTTACTATTTAAATGTAACTGCACCCATACAATGGAGTTCCAGTTTTAGTTGAGGCCATTATATTTTACCATCATCCAGAATCACAATTGTGATCACCCTATCTTGAAGGGTTAGATACTGCTTCCATTAAAGATAATGGCTAAATCTGCATTGGGCCTGATTCTCCATTACTCTATCATATGCAGTCATTCATATCAGTGAAAAGCAATGGTAAAAAAGCATTTTATAGCTGCATTGCACTGGTCCACATGACTGGACAGTGGAAGTCAACAGAAAATGGGGACCACAGACAGAGGAGGGAATGCAGTTTGGGTTTGAATTAATACCTGGGGCCTGAACAGTGCCCCTTGTTGAAACTCCGTCATCTCTGTTGCACTTGATCTAGCCTCTGTAAACTTCAGGAAAATAACACACAGAGCCTGCTCAGTACATACATTTTAATTGTTCATAATTTATGTTAAATATATATTTTTTGCAAACAAAACACATTCACTAACCTAAAATAACTATCTCCATACTAAATATTAAATTGCAGCCATTTTTGATAGTCTGTGAAAGATAATGTATTTTTTTCAGCAGCACTGATCTTAGAAACATCAGAAAGGCCTTGGTTCAAACTAAAGAAAATAATCATTGCAGGATAGGTGAACCATGGAAACTTTCAGCTCGCAAGATGGAGGTTTTTAGAAGTTGTGTGTATGGTGAAGAGTTTAACATTTTAAATGTTTTGCAGCCATTACTATGGCAGGCGCTTCTTGATATCTACTGTAACTAATACAACTAACTCCTATGAAACAGAAGATGGGGAAATAGTGTCATCTCCATTTTATACAAAGAGAGAATGGACACAGAAAAAGACAAATCATTTGCCCAATGGCAGAGTCCTCTCTCAGTGCAGAGCCAGTAGTAGAACTCTGGCATTCCTGGCTTTCCATCCTGTGTTCAAGCCAGGCTTCTGCCCTATACATTTTATTTTCCTCTACTGCAGTAAGAATGAGTAAAATCAAATAAAAAAGATGAAAAGCTGCTTACTTTTGTAGCAATACCAGCTCTTTCAGCTTTTCTCAACCCTTCCACCCCTGCTTTGTTTGAAATAACAAGGACTATTTGTGCATAGCTGGTGGGCTTCTTTGTGCTGGTTATCAGGGCTTCAAGGTTTGTTCCTAAAAAACAAGAATAAATAATGCAGACTCTGCATTTCTGGAGAATGAATACATGACATTCTGCCAAGGTTTAATAATAAGTAAGTGCAGGTGGGGCCTAATCTAAAGCCCTCTGAAGCTCAGTGAAAAGACCCCTACTGACTTAGTAAGTACTGGATTGGAAGGGTTTGGTAAGCAATGAAATGATGATTTGCCTAACACACACTCTGTGGAGGTGTATGAACATTAGCGCATTTCTTATGAGTGAGAATGGTTATAAACTGTAGGTCTGCCTGTCGTGTCTACAGAATAAAGAAGGAAATGTTGGTCTCTGTTTGAAAAGATAACGTTGCAGTCGCTGTGATGATGCAGAGTGGTGACTGATCATCTGAAGCTGATGACTTACAAAAGTGGGTAGACAGAAGTGGCAGAGGTGCACTTCACAACCAGTTGGCAGCATAAAATTACACTGTAGCTGATTCAAAAGGGCCTAAGCCAAAACCCATCTTCCCTGTCTGATGGCATGCCCACCCAAGTCTATGGAAAGACTAGCAGGAACTCCAAAGGGTTCTGGATCAAGCCCATTTGCCTTTTTCAGCAGCTGTCTGTCTCCTAGGGTGGAATGCAAAGATCTCACCTGTTCCAGAGATGAGGACAGCAACCTTCACTTTGTTTGTTTGCATTTTGCCTTGGATATGGCTGTGCAAAGACAATGACCTGTTTGCTTGTAGGGCCTGCATCAGATGATTGACCTTAACACAGGCAGAGTCTTAATTCAAAAGAGAAAAAAGTTATATGTAAACAAAACAAGTATGTAGATCTTAAACGGCATTCAGTTCTTCTGAAAATTAGAGTAGCAGCTTCTCATAACTTCTAAAGATCGTTTATCAAACACTGCTAAGCACATTTTCTATACACTGCAATTGGAGTCTTTTGCCTCATCCAGACGAGCATGGATGTTTGTTTCCCTGGGGACAAATAGTGCCACACTTTGCACTGCTGCTACTTGTCCTCAGGGAACACCTGTGCCACATCTGCTCTGGTGCACAGCAGGTTACCCTAGGTGGTGTAGGGGAGGCTGGGCCCAGCAACTGTGCTGGGCCCAGCAGCTTTACCTGGGTCTTAGGGGCCTTGAGGAGATGCAGCCACAGCACTCCTGCAGCTGCGAGCCTGGCTGGCAGCCAGAGTGTGGCTCCAGTAGGCCAGGCTCTGGTTTTGTGCAGCATGCACTGCTGCCATGTGTGCTGGTCTGTTTTTTTGGGGGTGTAGGTTTTTTTGACCCCAAGATTTACCGGAGCCAAAAAAATCCCCTGTGCTGCAAGACAGCAATGCGGGGAATGCCTGCATGTGCAATGTGTGGTGCTGCAGATACTGCATGTCCATGCTTGTCTTTTCCCAAAAGACCCATGTCCATGCTGGCCTTTGGGATTATTCTTTCAGCATGTCAGTACAGCAAATGCTGTATAGTATCTTCTGGTAATCTCAGTAAAGTCACACCAATTTATACGGGGAGGTATACATGAGGGAACTGAGCTCCATAGGTTTTAGGTAAATGAAACCCCTATAACCTGTGCATACGGAGACAACTCTTCCAATCACCCAGGCTTCCTCATGTCTCTGTACATCTTTTAAAACTTGCTGAACCATCTCCTTCTGTACCACCAAGATGGCACCAATGCCGCAGTTAAATGTTCGAGCCATCTCTTCTTCTGAAAGATTCCCCTCGTTATGAAGCCAGGAAAAAATTTCAGGCATCTTCCAGCTACGAGCATCTGAAAATAGTTGAAACTGTAAATTGCTTTAAAAAAATAAAAACATAAAATGTAGAAATTATTTAGCATAGATTATTTAGCACAGATGCAGAATGGTTAGTTCAGTGGCAATGTAAGGCCCACTAATTTTTGCTGCCAGGCACAAAGCAGGATTCAAGTCCAGTTCACGTTTCTCAGGCAACAGGGACTAGGGGTATTAAGAAATGTAGTTTAGCCCATGGAATGAAAGAAAGAAATTATGTTACTTAGCTGCAACCCAGACCTAGTAATTAAGTACAGGCTCTCTAGGTATTTCAGAAGCTGTTTTTGCTTCTGAAACATCCTGTCTTGGAAGAATGACAGCTTGGTTGTAGAGAACACATGAAGTGAGAGATGGGCACTTTTGAATTTGAAAGGTAACACCCCTGCCCCCATCTGAAGCAAACAGAGCTGTGCTGCTGTACAAGTCCTTTTCCTCCTCTTGAACTTTGTGGGGCTGTGCTCAGAACATGCATATGGAGCCAGAGCACAGCCTACTTGCACACGCACAGTAGCTGTTTGGACACCAGTGATCCACACAGGGAACTCAACTGTCCAAACTGCGTGCAACTGCCAAAAAACTGCAGTGACATGACTGAAAAACTCCCATTTAGACACAAAGTAAAATTGGATTCTGGCTTGTGAGGTCCTGTGCAGGTCACTTAGCCTTTCTGTGCCTAGATTTTTTCAAACCTGCCAGTGAGGTGGTTGTGAAGGTTATTTAACAAACATAAAACACTTTGAGATGTGAGGAGTTAGAACTAGCACCAAAAGTCTAAAAGGCACCAAAAGTACTTGGTGCATACTCTCTGCTTGTGATCTGCTAACTGCACTATATAGCAAATCAAATACCTCATATATTTTGCTCAGGATCTGCTGATCTTACATGTCACAAAATGGTAGCTAATCACTTTGGGTTGCCTTTAAATTATTTTTTCTGATTTGATAGGGGTTCCTTAGACAAATAAATCCTATCTAAAACATGACCAAGGGAAGCAAGTTTAAGGGAGGAAAGACTGCAATCTTAAGGCCACAAAGTACTTGGAAGGAGCAACTCATAAAGATCTAATTAGAAAAAATAAACCATATTTTAAATAGGGCACAGGCTTAAGTCAGCAAGTCACTACCTTTTGTAGCATGCCAAGATACTTTCATATCCATTCAAATCGATTTGTTTATTAGATTTATGTACTGTCCTTATATTTCTTACCTAAAACAACACCCAAAGAGGCTGGGAGGATTCGAGGGATGTTTTCCAGCAAACCCCCTCCAGTTATGTGGGCATAGGCCTTAACATGCTCCAAACGAAGAACGTGCAACAGTGTCTTACTGTAGATCTTAGTTGGGGTTAACAGTAGCTCTCCTTCAGATATAAAAGAAGAAACAAGAGAGATTACAGCAGTGTTAATTTAAAGAAATTAAGGAAGACGTAAAACATTCCTTTCCTGGACGCTGATGGACAACAACTGTATTACAGAGTACACTGAAGAGGAAAGAAAAAACACATTATCTTCCTCTTGTAGAACACACTACTGTATTGACTCATCTGCTCCTCAGCCTAAATTGTTTCAACAGTTATTTAAAGGAAGAAGGCAGAGAAGGGCATGTTCATGTAGTAGTAAAGCCATTAAAGAATTCCTTGAAAAAGCTGTTTGGAAACTTTATGACATTCTGATAGATATGGAGAAGAGATATTTAAAGTAAAGACACTACCTAAAGTCTGGTCACCAGAGCCACTGACTGGAGAGGAGAAATCTAAAGATGACTTTTCTACAATCTTTCTGACAAGGCTAAACCCATTGCTGTGAACCCCAGAGGAAGCTATTCCAATGACTGCATCCCCATCAGTAATTCTCTCCAGCTGAGGGAGCATCTGTCCTCGTTCCACTGCACCCACTGCAAAGCCAGCAAGGTCGTACTCTCCAGGCAAATACATCCCAGGCATTTCAGCAGTCTCACCCCCTGTGGGGAACAAGATAGGGGGAAAAAAGGGGTCGGAAAGACATTGTGATTATTGATCGAAATGTTTCCAACCTGGTGAAAATAAGAATATTTTAAAATGAAACAACAAAGCTGAAAACACAAAAAAACAACAATGCATGTTTTAGAGCTTGCTTATAACAATATATTTATTGTTATACTGTAGCGTACCAATATAAGTTATGCTGCAGTCTGCAATGGACGAAGTGCAACGAAGACAGTAGTTGCATGCAGTAGGTGTGTCTGGCCACTAGGTGGCAGAGGTGAGGGTAGTAGAGTAGTGCATCTGCAAAATGGCTACCCCAGGTTAACTGCAAGCACTATACACCTAGTTTTGTTCCTGATTTTTCCTTCAGGGTGTTTCTATGTGGATTTGAATGTGAGGATCTGTCTGCTCCTTGTTCACACCAGTAAAAACGACTATCCCAAATTCTTATGCAAATAAGTTTGCACTGAAACACTGTAATTAATTTTTCAGCTGTAGGAGAAAGATAATTACTTTTCAAGGTCCATGAAAAAACTAAGGGTGAAAACAATTCTATGATTTCTCTGTTTTAAAATATAAGCCTATATGCAACTACTTTTCTGAAGTACAGACTTATATAGAACAATTTTTTAATTAAAAGATGGTGGGGGGTGTTTTTTGACGTTTTGGTTTGTTTTATTTTGTTACAGAGAATTTGAGTTGAGTGACTTTTAAAGGTTATATTATAAAATGGTCACAAGATTAAATTGAACCAATGTAATACTTTTATTAATGTTTAAACATTAAAAATAGAATGCATTCATTATTTGTTAATAAAATACATCACCTAGTATGTTATGACGTTAAAATAGGAAAATGATTACATTTAGACCTTAATATCTTGGTGTAACAGGGGGCCTTCTCGGGGCCGATCTACCAACGGCCCACCTTCTCACCTGCCATGCCTTGTTGTTAGTTAATGATCTTAATCAGGCAGGAGGCTGCCCATTCTTGCCCTGATGCCAGGGGGCACCATCTGCAGCCCAAGCCTCACAGATGGCATCCACAGATGTTAATCTCACAGGCCCCAGAATCCTCCAATCAGGACCCCTCTAAGATCCCTGCATTCAGGCGGCCTACCCCGCTTTCATTCAGGCTCCCTAGCTCCCTGAAACTATTTCCCCTCTCGGGCCTGGTCCCCCTGGGACCTTTGGCCACACAGGTCCTGGCCTCACCTCCACAGCCAGTCAGAACCCCAGGCCCCCAGCTCCCTCATGGTGGGCCCCTGGCCCTTTTGCATGTTCTGGACCTGGCCCTAGCATTGACCAGTCGAGGGGAGTCTATATCAGGCCCCTGAGCCTTTAGCCCCACTCTTTCTCCTGGGTCCGCCATCTGGCCCCTACTAGGGGGTAACCCACCCAGTTGTGGGAGCTGGGGTTATTAAGGTGCCCCAACCCGCTTTTCACCATGGTGATAACTGGCCTGGCATTTCCTGAGGGCTCCTGCACCACTGAGAGCCCCACCAGGCCACCCACTCCTGGCAGGGTGCAGTTTTAGGTCATGCCCAGGACCAAGAGCCTCCTAGCCATCCCTTACAGCGCCTCCCTTACCTCCAGGATGTTCCAAGCAGCCTTGCAGCCAGGCTATGTTACTGCCTGCCTGCCAGCAGTGAACTGATCTGTTTATATAGGCAGCCAGGGATCTTAAATGGCTGCTGCAATCAAGCACCTGCTGGCTGCTTGGCCGGGCCCTTAAAGTGGCAGGCACCAACAGTGCCCTGCCACACTTGTATTAAATTTATTTTCTGAAAACCTGGATATCCTAAACTAAACTGGAATAAAATGTCATCCTCTGCCCCCCCCACGCCAACCTCTCCAACGCATGTGAAAGAGATCAGGAACATAAGAAGAATTCAAATCCATATACTCTTGGCACATAAGGATGTTATGTAGCCTTTATTTTTATACAGTGAAATTAAAAGAAAATTATTAAAAGCAGATTACTGAGCTCTTGATAGTATTTGTAATCCAATACCATCTGCCAAGACGGTAGGTAGAGCCTCTTTTAGTAAGACAAAGGCAAGTAATCTTTTTCTTTACATATGAGACCTTTCAAGACAGAATGAACACAACACATTGAGCATCAGTTTTGAAAATGAGCAGCAAACTGATTTTCAAATTCCTGCAAAGGAAGGGAGTGCTCCTACCTAAGAGAGCGCATCCTGCCTTTTTACAAGCCTCAGCTATTCCTGCTATGACAGCTTGAGCCACTTCAACATCAAGTTTACCACAGGCAAAATAGTCGAGGAAGAAGAGGGGCTCTGCTCCCTGAGCCAGGATGTCATTGACACACATGGCAACCAAGTCTTGACCGATGGTGTCATGTTTCTTACACACCTGTGCAATCTGCAACAACGGAGTGAGAGAACCAGTTTATGAGATTCCAGAAATCAAGCACAAGCACCAAGATGCTGCAAATGAAGGCAACAAAAGTCCATGTTCATATGGACACTTTCTGAAAACCATCAAAAACAGCCAATTCCTTTCAAATGAGAGCGTATGCTCTCCTAGCTCTCACTGACATGAGACAGGACATAAAAATCTCACACTTTTTATTATATGAGTCACATGTCAACACAGAGAGTCTATGAATATTTCCCCTCCCATTTACAGTAGTCTAACATGCCTGTGGCTATGACAGTTCCTTACATGGTAAAATAATAATAGAAAAGAATTGTTCAGCCGTCAAAACTGCAATTTAGCAACTAAAATGAGAATATGACCAATCAGCTTTTCCAATAAGGATTTTAAGTACCAATATGCTTCACTAGGTTGAGCAGGGGCAACACACTAAGAAATGACAGAAACCTTTTAGGGGCTGAGAATGAAGATACTGTAGATAACAGATTGACTTTAAAAATAGTACCCTTCACATTTTTAGCACCTTTCAAGGGATTTCGTAGTGCTTTGCCAATGGATAAGTTAAGTGTCACAACATCTCAACGAGGATGCAAAATATAATTATCCCCATATTTCAGGGGAAGAAATTCAGGAAAACCAATAAACATCCAAATTACTGAATTTTTGTGGTTAAAATTTGGTGCGTAAATAATAGTCAAGAACCTGGATATTGCAGATTGTCAATATTGCAATACTGTCAACTCTGAAAATAATGAGATTATCTTTTTAAAAAAAAATCAAAAGATTTTAGAGAAATAAGCATTTAAAAAAAGACGACAGTTATGTTACCGTGGTCACGCTGACTGACTCATAAAGACTACATATTTTTTTTAAATAAAAGCCAAGATTCTCTTGTAATCACCCACTTCCAGGAGTTAGACTGTTACTTAAAACATCCAATACCATGAAATTTGCAATAAAATGGCAGAGATAGCAACACTGAGCCTGATGCTAGGAATTATTAAATACTTGCAGCCCCTTAACATTTTGGCAATGGGAGTCTAAAATCCATGTTCATGATGTTTCCCAGTGACATGGGTAGGCTTTAGTAAACCAGATGGAAGTCAGTGGGAACTAGCAGGGTCTTCACAACATTTTGATTCTCAAGAACCACAAGTCTGAGAAAACTATCCCCTATTTCCTAAAGAAAATAAGTGATGGACTAAATTCAAAGTTAGATTGATTAAACTGGATCATTTTTAAAAAAGGCCTAGTCAGAACTGCCTTCCTCCCTCCATGCTAGCCACTTCAACAAACACAGAATAAGAAAGGGCTCCCAATTGCAGATTTTGCAGGGCAAAATAGGGGATAACGTGCACCAGGGGATATAACAAGATTAAGAACATCAAATGAAGAGGTAAGACAAGCAGCCTCCTTTCCTTTTCTAACAGCAGAGGGGCATTAATTTCCTACTTCTGGCTTAGCTACAAAGTACTCCCACACAGCTCTGCCTTAGCAAGAGCTTTCCTTCTTCCTTCAATCTACTTTAATCACTGGAAAAGGGGAACAAGGGACAGTTAAGATTACGTAGTTGCATAATGGAGGTAGAGTGTGCAAAACATGGCTTCTGATTAAGCTGAAAAGTAGATTTTGGTGTCACTTTAAAGTGGAGAGACTCTAAGGGTTAAAGTTCACCTCAGTATAACCTTTTAGTTTTAATACTGCCTACCTTCATTTTTCCAATTGCTGATACCTCCATACAAAATGTATAAAAATGGACTGCTGTATAATTTTTGGAGAGCATTCAAATTTGGAGCAAGTCAGTCATGTTGCCTTGCAGCTCCCAATGGGCTTAACAGGAATTTGGAGAATGCAGGTAGCAGAATCAGCCTCTTTAGCAAGAGCTCAGCTTCTAAAGCAGTGATTCTCAAGCAGGGTGCCAGTTGAGATCTAGGTGCCACCAGATCCTTTGCAGGATGCAGGAAGATAAGCAAGATGTGAGAAGAGATAAGCAGATAAACTAAGTAGATAAGCACAGGCTCAGGCTTGTGCCTGCTTGAATGATCCCCCACTCCCACTACCTGGCCCCTCTGCAAGGAGGTAAGAACTGTGATGCATAGATTCGATTTTGAGACTGGGTGTCAATCAATTCACAAAAATTATGATGGGTTGCCTCAAGTCCAAAAAGGTTAAGAACCACTGTTTTAGAGTCTGAACAGGAAAACAGAATGGCAGAGGGGGAACCGCAATTCATGCTGCCCTGCATTAAATCTTTATTATTCTGCTGTTTTGGACAAGGATGTTAAATACAACACTATGAGTCAGCTCCTCAGCTCCAATAAATTAGCATTGTTCCACAATTCTGATCTGATTAGGGAGACTGTTCTGTTTTATGACTGGGGAGTACACAAATTTCTTGAGGTGGGGAAAGAAGAGAACAAGGCAAATGGCCCACAGTGCACAAATACCCAACAACCACTGTAATCCAACAGTTCTCAGCCAAGGTGCTGGGAGATCCTTTGAAGAGTGCCATGTGAGGAGATAAGCCAGGTGTGAGAGAGAAGCAGAAAATGGCAGGCTCAGGCTCATTGGTGCTTGGCTTTTCCCCTAACCCAAGGGTGGGCAATTATTTTGGCTGGAGGGACGCTTAACAAGTTTTGGGAAGGCATCAAGGGCTGAGTCCTGCAAGAGTAACTCCACCCCTTGACCAGTGCCTTGTCCCCTGGCTGCCATCTTGTGACTGGAAATCCCACCCCTAACCCCGACCCTTTCCACCAGAAGTCTCTCCCCTTTCCCAAGAATTATCCCTTGGGTGTGAGGGGGAGGGTGCTGTTTGTATATTGTGTGTGATGGGGTAGGAGGCTATATGGAGGGTGTGTGGGTGATTGGGGGAGTATGGGTATGGTGCAGGTGGGGGGTGTGGGAGGTGTGTGCATGGAGTGTGGATGTGTGTGTGGGAGTGGGGGGGCTGTAGGACTGTTGGGTGTGTGTGGGGGGGGTGTAGAGGTGTGTGTGTGGAGGTGTGGGATGTGTGGTTGGGGTGTGTGGGGGGATGTGGGTATGGCAATAGGGCTTTTTGTGACATTTGCTGAACCTAGTCCCTTCACAGGTAGGGAGAAGGGGAGGGAGATTAGCGCTGCCTGCCTGGCTCACAGCACACTGCAAAGGCAGGGAAAGCAGCTGCTGCCAGCAGGCATCCAGAGAAGCCCCTAGGAGAAGGGAGGGAGGACAGGGAGCCAAGCCTGGCACTCGCACTTGCCCGGCAGGGCTGCACCAAACTCACACTGGCTCCTGCTGCACACCCACACGACCTGCCTGTCCCATGCCTGCCCAGCAGGGCTCAACCAAGCCCACAATGGCTCCTGCTACTGCTGCTCCTCCCATCTCACCTGCCTGTCTTGTGCCTGCCCAGCAGGGCTTTGTGAGCAGTGGAGCTCCTTCACCCACCCTCCTCCATCTACACACTCCCCCACCCAGCCACGCATGAGCAGGACCAAAACAAGCTGCAGGCAGAGCCCCACTTCCCTCAGTGCTGCAGCTTCCCCTCCCTACCTCCTGCCCAAGGGCACTGCAGTAGGGACAAGAGGAGGAGTTGCTAGAAGCCAGGGCAGCCCAGTAGTTTCCTGGGTAGCAGCAGCCCTGCCCGGAAGCTGTGCCTGCTGGCTGCAGCTGGTGCCCTCTGGCAGGGGAGGACAGAAGTGCAGCATGGGCTGCCCCAGGCACGAGCAGGTGGGACTCGGCCTCATGCAGAACACAGCAAGGGGAGCCGTCGGCAGGACCACATGCAATTAACTGGTGGGTGCCTGCTTGCAGGCCGGATCCAGTGAGCTGGCAGGCCAGATCCGGCCTGTGGACCATACTTTGCCCACCCCTGCCCCAACCCCTCTGCAAGGAGGTAAGCATTGCTCAATTCATAAAACTTATGCAGGACTACTGAGTCCCACAAGGGGTGCACTGAGTCTAAAAAGTTTGAGAACCACTGGTGTAATCTTTTGATTGTTCTCTATGCCCGGACTCTGTGTGGTGGATGTAGGGGCTCTGGTTCAGCAGGGAGTTTAAGTGTGTGCCTGATTTTATGCATGAGTAGTACCTAACTTCGGTAGGACATTTATGGTCTTGGAGTTAGACATGTAGTTAAAGATCTTGCTGAGATCAGAAAAGGCTGGGGTCTTTCTTTTCATTTTTTGCTTTCTTTTTTTTTAAATCTTAACATGTCTCTTCCAGGACATTAAGCTCTCCTTTATTAATAACCTCAGCACTGATATGGACATGTTTTGCTTCACAGGGGTTTCAGATTACCTTGAGCTTTGTTCCAACGCCATCAGTTCCAGATACCAAGATAGGATCTTCATAGCCAGCTGCTTTCAAGTCAAAGAGACCAGCAAATCCTCCAAGTTCTGCATTGCAACCTGCCAACCAGAAGAGGAGAAAAGATAAGTGAATTAAACTTTGATTCCTAGGAGATCCTTCAAGATTCCTCCTCTCCGCAATGAGATCCCTCTGACCCCATGAACACTGATCTTTAATCATCAGAAATAATCAGGAGACACTCTCTCCCCTCTCCCCCACACCTTGGACATCTAACCCACCTTCAGTAGACTCTCAAGGCCCCAGACAGATATTATGCTTAAAATGTGATTAACTGGTTAATCACATCTTAAGTAGTGACCTGGCCACATGTTCATTCAATTAATGGAATGATAAAATGAGGAATAAGCCACAAAGTTATTACACAAAATATGTGTAATAAACAGGCATCCAGGTTTTCTCTGGTTAAAAATGGCAAAATCTCTGATTTAAATTGGGGGGGGGGGGCAGACACAATTTCAAATTCTCTGATTAAACCCCCCCAAATCTGCATTTTCCCACAATTAAAATGAAACACCACTATACATATAGTTATCAGTTGAACACAATGTTTTATTGATATATTTACAATTTTAAAGGAATTTGGAAGCCTACCAGTGCCTCAATGACTATAATAAAATAAATTCTAAATACCTATACATTTTAACGTTTGATTTAGGGATCTTTTATCATGGAAAATTATAGCTCCACTTGCCCCCTTCACTCACCAGGATGCAGGTCCAGCTGCAGCTCTCCCTCCACTACTTTGTAGCACTGCCAGCCCTGATATGCTGGTGCCCTGCCCATGCCATTGCCTCTCACTCCCAAGCCACAGCCCTCTGGCCCTGCTGGTGCTCTGCCCTCCTCACCCACAGGCCCCCTCCCCAGCCCTGCTGGAGGGGACCCCCAGCTGCCAGGGCTACAGGGCCAGGGATACAGGCCCACAGCCTCCTCCCCACCCCCTCAACAGCACCTGAGCCCCAGCTGCCACCTGTGGAAGGTGCTGGCGGCTGCTGCAGCTAGAGCAGAGTATGGAGCCCAGCTTCCCCTACCCCATGGGCAGCACAGACAGAGTGGAGCCCATGGGGGAGGGGTGAATACAGGCTACCCACTGCAGGCTAGGGGCTCCCTGGCATGCTGCCCTCCTGGAACTCTGCCAGCCTACAAGGGGAAACCCACTGTTTCCTGTGTTTTTCTTCTTTAAAGGAGAAAATCTGCATTTTTCTCCTTTGAATGAGAAACTGCATTTTACCGCAGTGAACAGTAAACCACGATGCCTGGTAATAACTTTGTGGCTGGTTCCTATTATGCCTTTAATCGAAAATGTGGCCAATGCTCCTGTACTCCTCTGCGGCACACTGGGGCCTTTCAAGACTCCATGTGCTCCCACAGCTGGGAGAACCAATGAGCTGATAGGGGTTCCCAAACGGGGGAGTTTAGGGAGCCAAGCCTGCTACTCACTGGTGCAGGGGGAGCCTGGGATTGGGCTCCCTAATATAGTGTGATGGGCTCTGATGTTGAATCCCACATGCACATGTGGTATGGCAGGAAATGCAATTGTTGGGATCCCACATCAGATCCCATCACACCTTTAAATTACAGTCTGTCAGGGGCCTTAGTCTCTGCCAAGCTAGGTCACACCTTATAGGATTAAGAAACATAGGAGAATACTGCAATAAGCAAAAATACAGATTTCTAAATTATGCTTTCATCTTGACTGTTCACCACCTTGTACAGCCGCTTATATGTAGTCACTCAGGTACCATTCCTACAAGTTCTCCAAATGCAGAAATACGAATGAAACACCACTATATACATATGTTTATATTAGTGGTGTTTCATTTAAAAAAATCACAGAAAAATGTGTATTTGGGGTTACTTTTTTTTTAAACCAAAAATTGGGGATTGTTTTAAATCAGAGAAAACCAGGATCCCTGGTGATCAAGTCCCACAATGGGACAGTTATACGTATGCTCAGTGCTTTGTTGCGATGAGGCCTTGAAGCAGAGTTCCCAGGCCTCTTAGAATTTATTTTCTGAAAACTACATCAGGCTTATCAATCAGAGCCTTGCAATTACACATTCAATAAAATTACTGTAGAATATTCAACTCTTCTCATACCTTAAGTTTGTTAAAAGTAGATTAAGGAGTTGTTAAAATCTGAAACCCAATCCTTTTTTGGGAAGCTGCTAATATGATACTTTTCCATTGATGCATGATGCCTGTTCTACACTTTTCCTATCTGGAGTATATTAGTATGACCAAGAAGATATTTGGCTATTACATTTTTTATCATATATTTAAAAAAAAATTAGACTGGCAAAATTCTGATCATGAAAAGAATACAGCTAAAAAAAATAGGAACATTTGAAATTAGAAGCATATTATATGCAAATTCAATAAAAGTGAATTTTATTTTCTTTTTAGTAAATATCCATTGCAGTCCCAGACTTTATTGTATAACAGCCACTGACTTGCTTAGCAAGGCAAGTTTAGGACCAGAATGAAGAAATGAGAGGTGGACCTGGTAAATGTTTTATCTGAGGTATACATGGGTCTCTTGTATACATAACTGAAGCAATTCTACTTCTTATGCATGGCTAGTAGGATTGGAGTATTGCTGTAAGCAATGGCAGTCAAGCAAATGAAAGAAGCAAGAGTTTTTTTGGTGATATTTTTTACTGAACCAACTGTAGAGTTCAGAGAGATGTTAGACAAGCTTTTGGGCACAAATTGCCCTTCCTCAGGCACAGCCCTCAGGAAGGGCACTCTGTGCCAAAAAGTTTCTGTAACACTGCTCTCAGCTATATAGTTGGTTCAATAAAGGATATCACCAAAAATACCTTTGTTTCTCCAATGGGTAGCTTTACATTTTCGGTTAAAAAAAAAATCCCACTGACCTCCAAAACATTTATTTATGCATAGTTCATTTTGCACATGCTCTGATAATGTATTTAATCAAAAATACCAGTAGGTGGTGCGATTTTTGCTGATGTATATTAAATTTAGGTCATACTCCTTGGCATTGTATGGGCACCCTGAGAGCTCCTGAGTGCAGGGGGAGACAGAAGCAGCATTTTCAAAGGGGTTGGTTTTCAGGCAATATTTTCTGCAGTATTATTTTGAGAAGCAATTTTGTATCCCTAGGGCTTTCTAGATTTTAAATGTATCTAGGGCATTTGTTTAATCTTGGATTTTCAATTTAGAGCATAAAAAATATGCATTAGCTTTATTCTTAGGGTCAAACCATTGCCAATAGATGAGTATAACAGGAATTAGGGTATAAATCTTACCTGACCTTGAGGTGGCTGCTGCTAAGGGTTTAATTTTCTGAACCAAAGTATTGCCAGCTGCGATGTCTACCCCGCTGTTTTTGTAAGTCAAGCCTCTAAAAATTGTTAAATGAACCAATTAATAATTGCACAAATATACTGGCTTTATGTTACTTTCCTACAACATTGAAGTGCTTATGGGGATTAATTATAAAGACTCCAATCTTGATCCTATTACACACATTGAGTTTTCTAGTCACATCATCTTTATATATACAGTAATTATGATGTCAGCTAACTCAAACCTGTCAGCCCAGATTCAAAGTTGATACACTGTACTGTTGTTTTGAGACTAATGTCACACATATGACAGAAGAAAGAGAGCAGGTGTGTTGAAGAAATAATGCCTCTTAACTTGAAAGGAGTTTGTGAACCCTCCCAGTCATCTTGAGGACAGCCTCCAAGAGCAGATCATAGACCTACTGACTACCAAGTCAGATATTAAGAAACAAATACAACACATGCACAAGTACTCAGAACACCTCCAAAGAAGAACATTAGAAACCTTTAAAAAATAAACTAAAACTGAATTATATAAATAATATCCATTTTCCAAGACACCATTTAGTAAACTATTCAAACAAAAGGGGAACTTTCTGGTTTGTTTGGGGTGGTCACTGTAATTTTAATGCTCAATTGTGGCAAAATCTATTTGACTTCAATTGAGGAATAACTGTTCCTAGGCTGAAAGGGTATGGAGGAATTAGAAAAGAGCCAAAACAAGTATTAAGTTTTACACAACACGTGAAGGCTGGTTTCAGAAAGACTGTCTTCTGGTGGAAAAAAAAGGTTCTATTAAAAAAAACAAATCACACAACTAAGTTACACGCATGTATTTCTGCTCAAACCCACAATGGGACAACAAAATTCATTATAAAATGGTGCCCAATTGGTTTATAGGATATGGTTTCCTACAATAACAGGGGACTAGACTTGATCTAGGGCAGTGATTCTCAACCAAGGTGCTTTGAGATCCTTTCAAGGGTGTTACAGAGTGCCACATGATATTAGCATTGTTATGTGTACAAACATGATTCACAAGATAAGCCCAGATATTTTGCAGAGGAATCCATAGTTCAAAAGACATTCTGACCTATGGGTCTTTTACAGTTTTCTGCAACACAAGAATTGCTGTATTATTTTTCTATAATTAAAAAAAAAAAAAAAGAGTGAAAACTAAAAGCTACTATTTTCTCAGGGGTGCCTTGAGTTTATCAGGAGGAGTTTCCTCAAAACTATTGAGATGTGTGCCAAATCTAAAAAGGTTGAGAACCACTGATCTAAGGATCTGAGTTGAACATACTTTCAGCTTGAATATATGCCCAGCAGCTGCTTTATATAGAGAAGAGACCATTTCAGTTTCATAAAAGTATTCTGGTTTTATCATTAAAGGAAAACATCAAGAAAATGCTCCTTAAGAGGTGGCCAGTGCCTTATGGGAATGTCTCCATGGGAACCTAAGCCTCAGCACCCGGCAGATTCAACTCCAAAATAAAAATGCTGCACTTTCCTCATTCCTTCTGAGCTGTCCTTAATTCAAGGCCCAGAGGCATAAAGGTGTTTGACAGATCACCAGTGTCTTCTCCCAATACTTGAAGCTGTCTGAAGTCCAACAAAAAGTACAACTTCCTGAGGGTCTTTTCTACTTGGGGCCATTAATGGCCAGCACAAAGGGCTGTTATACTTGCTAGGGATCATCAAAACTGCCTTCATATCCCTTCTCTGTCCACCCCCACTACAAGTCTGTGCTTTAAAAGATCACACCTTAGTTTTGTCTTTCTTCTGATATCAATATTTGATATACACACTATAGTAAAAATATAATTATATATTTTTACATAACTTTTCACATGCTGTACTCTGCTACCAGTATAAATAAGACTACATACCAACACCTTTTTTCATTTACTTAGTTTATTAATTATACAGGAATCGCTTTACAATATACTAATCAGTGAAGCTGTACACTGGCAGTAAAACCAACTGTCTTACTAATACAGGCTCTTATTCTTTGCAAAACATTTTGCTATCAAAAGTTAAAATACTTTCAATTAACTGGGGAAAAAAGAAGGTAGGGCAAATTGAAACTTCTGTGCATTAAGAACTAGGGAACTCCAATTTAAGTGATTGCTTGAGCTAGTAGTAATGCCTTTTGATCACTTGAGGTAGCAATAATTATTACAAATCAGATTGAGGCACTGCCTCCAGATATATACCTGGAATGTCTGAGGAAAGCAATGGCCCGATAACCAATGTCTTTTCTATAAACGGCGCCTTTGAACTGTATGGTTGCTACTCCTTTGTTGGCTTCCTCCAGTGCTGACATCAGATCTTCCTTAATAGCTGTTACTGTAAGGACTCTTCCGCCATTAGTCACTACCTTGCCATCCTTTATTGCCGTGCCTGCATGGAACACTTCCAGCCCTAGCTCTTTAGCCTTAGAAAGACCTGTCATTTTTTTCAAATATAAAATGTGAAGAACTAGTCACTTAAATCATTCTGAAATAGAAATGTTAATCATAATTAATTATTTGTGCTCTGGTGGTGCCTGGATGCCCCAATCCAGAAGCATGATTAGTTGTATTAGCCCTATGTAATTTCTCTGTTTACTGCAAAGAAAACTAACGTTTATAGAAACAAAATTTTAGCTCAATGCCCAGGGACAAATAATGGGGCATTTAAACATGTTTACAGCATTTAAATTCAATAGCACTGTATTTTGCTGTACTCCTAATTAAGATCCAAAGTGACCAAAATTCTAACAGTGGTCTATGATAAGTAAAGTACTACCCTCTTGTGTTTTATACATACCATCTTGCAGAAGAAATCATCTTTAGGAAAACAGACCATAAAGATGCAGGAATTAGGAAATGCTTAGACTGTGGGCACAATGATTGTCACGCAGCAGTGGATTTTAAACTCCTCGCCCTTATCCGAATTTTAAGAGAGGCATTCTGTTTACCTAAAGAAAACTATGGTGCTCTCTTGAAATCTACTTGTCTTTTGCTCAAACAGAATAATAAATTGTGAAGTTTCTAAAACTTTGCGATACATGGATTAATCTCTGAAAGGCACAACAAGAAATAAGCCTCTCTTATTTCCTGAGTGCCAACAGGAAATGGTTGCCACTCTTGTCTTTACCTGTTATTTCCAAGCCCTTGGCATAAGTTCCTGGATAACCTTCACTAGCCATGACCACAGTCACAGCTGCACTGTCTTCAAACCAAACAGGCATGGAACTAGACAATTCTGTATTGATTGTTGCCTGCATGACTTCATACAAATCACTTTTCAGTAGTGGAAGAATTACCTACAAAATGTAGACAACAAAGATAAAAGACTGCCAAGATGAATCAATTCCCAAATGTATGCTTTTCCAGAACATTACTTTTATCAAACTAAACTCTAATAGAGAAATTTCCACAACTTCTAAAGAGAATCCAGTTACCACAGACTGCTAAATAAACATTCCTGCAAGAGTTTACCACTCAAACATTTTACACAAGATCCAGTAATTGACAATTAATTTGAATTAGAACTTGAGCAAAAGTGTAGATAGTCTATTTTTGTCCTCCACGTTGAGTAAAATGCAAGTAAACTATCACCCTTGATAAACTTAAAAGCAAATTTTAATGTAAAAAACATCTGCTTTTAAAATAGGCTAGGTTTGTGACTTTGTACATCAGTATATTATTAGGGTAAAGCTAATAAAAATTCTTTTGTATTTTCTCACCAGTGGAAACAGAAGGATCACAATCTGTCCTAATGTCATTTTTAACTTAATAGTATCCCGCTAAAATTGTAACCTATGATATCATTTAAATCTCACTTAAGGGTATATTTTTTAGGCAATGCCAATTTACACAATGTCTACACCCAAAGTTATATACATAAGTGAATAAGATACACAGGGCCTGTCCAAATTCTGATTCACAAGGTGCCACAGGCCATTCCTCCTACAAGGCACACAGGTAAGTAGGAGCTGGGGGAAGCAGTGGCCCAGGTAGGAGCTGGTGATAGTAGAAACAGCAGAGAGGGGAGAAAATGTGAAGCCCTAGCAGAAGCAGGCAATGAAGGTTGGCAGTGAAGTGTAGGGAAGGGAGGGTATGGGGGGAAGCAGTGCTTGGACCTGTGGGGAACCAAGGAGATAAAGGTGACAGGGATTCATGGGCCATAGCTTAACTGTTTAACTACTTGCAAGTTGCATGCAACCCATGGACTGCTATCTAGACAGCCATGATACACCATGATACACCAAATTTAAAGCACTGTTGTTTTCTCTAGATTAGAAGTTGCTCAGATCTGGAACATTATCAATTTCACAGAACCTCTGTACAGCACTGAAAATTCGTTGGCAAGGAATACATCATTAGTACAGAAGATCATTAGCCTCTAATTTCAAAACAAATAAACTATATGGCGGAAATAAACCATTCTACACCCTCCGCCCCCCAGAATGCCAAGCTAATAATTAAGTATTAGGTGTTCAGTTAAAATCCCTTTACTTAAGAATGAAATAAATGAAGAAACCCAGATGAAAGTATGGCTTTGCTCCCCATTACACTAAACTATATTTAATTCTAGTGACTCACCTGACATTCTGGGTCACCAAACCTGCAGTTAAACTCTAAAACCTTAGGCCCATCCCTAGTAAGCATCAATCCAGCATAGAGCACACCTAAAATAAAGAACAGAATAGAAGGGAAGAAAAGGGAATAATTAAAAGTCATTTAGGTGACTGTAAAGGTCATTTGTTTTAAACCTATTTATAATGTAACATTTATTGAGAGTGCTGCTCTAGTATACCTTGATTTCAAATATTTTTCCCAAATTTAAAAAAAATCTGCTAAAATGTTATCTCCAATTATCTGTATCTGATAATGCAATCACTTGAGTACAAATAAGAAAACAAAAGCATTCGACTACCTGACCTACGTTTAGCTAATCAGAAATGCTATGATCTGCATCTCTGCATAATTTACTCTTAATGTTAGTTGCATATAACTTTACACAATTTTGCAGACTATTTTTAAAATGTTATTCTGTTATTATCTTCCAGCTTACTTGGGGTGCTCTGTAACCAGAAATGGAGGGATACTCCCTGATTTCAAAGGGCTTTGGATCAAAGCCACTAGAATCAAACCTAGTTCCAAAGAAGGTAATCAAAATATTACCAATAACTTCAGGGAAAGTTTAATTCTTTAGTGAAAGAGCAGAGTACAGAGGAGGGGGTAAGAGTTGTTCAAGATACTAAACAACTAACAAGAATCACATAAGAGAAAGTTTTCACTTACCAGTATATGGAACTCCTTCTTTTTTCATCCCATCCACTGTTCTCTGAAGAATAGTATCTCTTATTTTCAGGAGTAAGTCTTTGGAAATCTAATAAAATATGATTAGAAATAAGTACTTTTAAGAATTAATGTATTATTTTACCTAGCAGCGTGTACTTTTCTGTATAACTGACGAGATGCGAAGAAACTGCAGGTATCTTTCCCAGTTCAATACATGTTTTAACAAGAGAAACTTGCTATCTTTTTATCTCTTTGCAAAGAGCTTATTGCACTATTGACTGAGTGTTGCAATCCTACAAACAATTACACATGTGCTTAAGTTGACACATGCAAGTAATCCCATTGACTTCATTGGAACTGCTTGTTTTCATAAAGTTAAGCATATGCGTAAGTGCATGAAGCACAAGACAAATCAAACTAAAAAGCATCATAGTGGCCATTACTGACCAAGTTGTACCAAATACACTCAAAGTAGCTACATAGTGGCTTGTTATCTATTTATAAAATGAAAAAAAACAATAGAAGACAACATGAATCAACAGGAAGTAAACTAACCCCTTCTGCAAATAACAGCTACTTGCCAAACAGAGACAAAAATCATAAGATATGGCATAGGTTAATCATTCTAACTCACTCAGGCAAGAGATAATGTGTCTTCAACCAGCTGGCACTGGTAACCAGGACTTTACAGCACTGAAGGTTAATGCAAAATAAAATGTAGGCTTCCACCTTCACAATGAAAGTGTAGTTAAGTAAGAATGCCCTACTCTTCAGAGAGACAAGTTAATAAGTGAAGCTCAGTGAAGCACAACTCCTTGCATCTGCCCCCTCCCCATCTGTAACAAGTCTTTTCTCTTCATTCCTGTTTGCCACAATGCAACAAAGAATATACATAAGTTTTCAGTTATTAGATCTATCCACACAGCCACCTATTATCACATTTTACCTGTGGTGCTGGGGAATAAGCTCCCATCCCTCCAGTGTTTGGACCCTCATCTCCATCCATTAACCGTTTGTGGTCCTGGGCTGGTGGCATAGGGGCAACTGTTATGCCATCAGTGAAGCACAAGCACTGTAAGGCAAAACAAATAACCAAAGCTGAATGTGTATGACAAACTAGTGATATCAGACTTGGTGAAATTAGGACCCAAATGAGGTCCCAAGCAAGCCTTTTAGGGTGCAGACAGAAGTGACGCTTTTTGCCTGATCTGGCCACAGAAGGCAGTCTATACCTGTGCCCAAACACAAGTGCAAGGCTGCAGACAGCTTAAAAAATGGCCAATCCACTGATTGCAGGAGATATCAGATGTTTCAAAATGTAGCTCTTTTGTAACTTGTGTCTGGGAGCTCCCAGCCTGTCACTGTTTTCAGAATGGGAGGGGGGAAAGGGAGCAGAGGGAGTTCAGTCTGGAGGTTTTTCTGACCCCTCCCCAGTCCCGTGGAGGATAGGGCAGATGTACTGGAGCTCCCCTGAGATGGGGGGGCTCCAATTCACCCACCCTACCCTACCCTTCAGCACCAGCTGGGGAGCCTCAAGAACAAACTCCCTCCACTGCCTTTCCCCTCTCCCATTCTGAAAACAGGGAGCAGTGTCAAAGAGCTGTGGCTGTTGCTATGGGAACCTGGATGCAGGCTTCCAGCCTGCAGATTCTCCTCCCCTCTGGAACCAGCAATGAACTTCTGTTTGGTCCGGGGTAATGCTGTAACTCAGAGCGCTTTGCAGAAATCATTCCAAGTTACAGCTGGAGGCTGCACTTCTGTCTGCACCTACAGTTACTGATTTAAAGGTTAGTTTAATAAACTTAATTCCCCATAGGAATATAAGAAAAACCAGATACTTTTAGTGGTTGTCTTCCTCACTGGGACTGTAGCACTATCATATACAAATTATTTTGTAAAAATAGCAAAAATGGCACAAAGGAGGCACAAAAATAGTTGGAATACTCCACTGTAGAAATATCAAAAGTAGTAGATATTTGCATTATTTTTCTTTCCCTGTGACAGAAATAAATTTACATTCAAATTACAGATAAATGTATGCCTATATGCTTTTATGTGCAATAACACGTTGATAATTTCTTTGCTTGGGTAATGGCAAATACTGTTTGCAAGAACACCTCATAATTCCATTATGAGGTAGGTAGGGAAATAAAACATAAAACGTCTACCATCAGCCCCTTCAAAATTGTACTCAGCCACGAGAGAGGCTTTACTTTCGACAAGCAAGTCAAGAACCATCTTTCCTTTCTCAATATTATCAAAAAGCAAGTCCTTTCTTGTGTTCTTATATCATAGATAGGAGCAATGGTATAAACAGTCCCAGACTAAATCTGGGATTGTCCATGAAATCAACAAAAACATTTGATAAAAATAAAATGCTGGGAGGTTAAGGCTGTGGCTGGTGGGGTGACACAAAAGGCAGCAGACAAGATAGTGGCTGTCCCCTCATCCCTCCTTCCCTTTCTAGGGACTCTGCCAGTCATCACTGATG